GACCCCACAAAAAGTAGGTTTGGTAGGTTAAGGTTCAGCATTCTTGACTATAACTTTCTCCATATATTCGCTCTTGGAACTTAGGATTTTGGTGTTAAATTGTCGATCCTGTTTTTCCATGGGTTCTCCATCATATATCATATAAGTAGCCCTCTCCAAACACTGTTTTAACTCTACAGCTCCCAATATTAAGCCCCAAGGAATGTTGAACAGAGCGCGTTTTTGGGAGTCGGGTTGGGCCCCAAAGACCAAAAACCTTCATAGCACCATGAAAGGAGCCCTTATTCCTTATTCCCATATTTGCAGGCCATATCTTATAAACCCTAGGCCTAAACCCTAAAACCTAATTAAGCCTAAGCCTCAGCCCCGAAGATGCGGAGATGCAAGGCGGCTTGCCCTGGAATTCAAGACGCCTGACCTCGAACTGGATCAACTCCGGTTCCTGGGACGCGGAATTCTAAACCCTCCATGTGGGAGTGGAGTTTTCGAAAATTAGGGGTACCGTAGAGGGTTCCTTTCAAGGGTTACTATCAGGGTCCTGTAAGGATTCCATTGAAGGGTTACAAAAATGGTTTGGGGATTCCGGAAATTAGGGGTACCTTATTTTGGGGTCCTTACAGTAAGGATCCTACTATCTAGGGTACTATATGAGGGTCCCCTATTTCCGGAACCCTCCATGTAAAGCCTAGCGTGTTGAGTTTAGAGTGTAGTTTAGGTATTAGTGCAGGAGCTTTTTTCAGGATTTTGTTCATGCGACGTTGTATCTGTTATGTAGAGTTTTGTACATTGCAGAGCGTTAGAGTTCTCAGTATTTTTTGAAGGTCCCAAAAGGGAAAAGATGAGGCTGGCTGGGATCCCTCGCATAGGTTATAGGGGGGGGTCCCGTCATGAATCCGTACTAGAGCACCTCGGGCTAAGGGTATTGGCGTGAAGAGTTTGGGGCACGTTCATGGCTTAGGTTTTACGGCTCAGCTCTTTATGCATTTTCTTAGGAAATATGGCATTGGGGGTTTAAGTGTTTAGGGTTTGAGGGTGGTTTACCGTGGTTTGTTTTGTGCTGCTTTTGCTTCCTAAACTAACTAGCCCATAGTATAGAACCCTTCTTAAGCCTAGGTGTTCGTGCGAGTTCGAGGCTTTAGTGCTGCAGCCCGGATCGGATCTAGGGTTTGGGCTACAGGGTTGCGGGTTTAGGAGTTTAGGGTTGTAGGGGTTTAGGGTTTAGGGGTTTAGCTTAGAAGGGGCCCCCACCCTGTAATAGTGACTATAAGGATTATATTAGGGCCCGATTGTATTCCTATTATGCCACTATTGCAGGGGAGGGGCTCCTTCTAAGGTTTAGGGTTTAGGGTTTGGGGGTTTCGGTTCTAGGACTGCCGTGGCGTTTGGGTGAGTTCAGGACCTGCTGCATACCCCGGCCCGAAGATACGGCTGATGATAGAAATCTTAGGGTTGCTTTAAAGGGGTCTGTACAGATAGGTTTAAGGGGTTCCTTTTATAAGAGAGCTATAGGCTCTTTAGGGTTTAGGGTAAAGTTTAGGTTTATGATACAAACCTTGCATGACCCATAATAAGGAATACACCATAATTTCCATAGTTTAGGGTCCTTAGGGTAATGCAGGACTTATATCATCAACAGTACGACAGATTCCTGGAATCAGGGCTGTGTGGGGGGGGGGGGCTCTTTTTGGAGGTTTAGTTGAGTGTTTAACTTGTTTAGGGTTTGGGTTAGATTAGACAGATTCCTCAAATGAGGGCTGTGGGGCTCTATTTAGGGTACAGTTGAGGGTTTGGGTTATTTAAACAAATCCCTACAGCACCCTGGCTAAACCCTAAACCCTAAACCCCTAAACCCTCAACAAGGGACCCTAATTGGGGTTAGGGTACTTGTAGGTCCCTAAAATAACCGGTTACTAAGTCCCTCGACCCTCCAAGCAACCCCTAAAAAAGAAAACACATACGGAACTTGTTCTCTCCCAAGCCCGGAGCCCTTCAAAAGCCCAGGTTTCGGTGCAGTTTCGGATTGAGGGTTCGGGTTTAGGGTTCGGGTTCGGGGTTTAGGGTTAAGGGGGTCTAGAGCTTCGAGACTTATGGCTCAGGTTTGGGGTTTTAGAGTGGAGGTGAAGGGTTTATGCTTTCGCCCGACCCCTTTGTGTCTTCGTTCAAAGGTTCGAGTTCGTTGCCGTCCCGAGCAAGCCGGCCACGAACGAGCTTCGACGTCCCTGCCGCCGTTTGGCCTGCCAGTATAACAGTATAACTTAGATTTGTGATTGCTCCCTTCCGTAAGGTCTTTTTACTAGGGGTCTCTGTTGAATTTGTGGTGCAAGTCGATCAGGTGGGATCACCGGTTTAGGGTTCCAAGGTGCCTCCAGGAGGATTTAGGGTTTATACTATAGAAGCCTCAATAATTAACAATATTATTCCGTAGGGTCCCCAATTGTAATTGAGGTAGAAAGGGGCCCCAAACCCTCTTGTAATTATTAAGGCCTGTATCAGGTTTGGTGGTTTAGGGCTGTTTCTGGTGCAGTTTGGGCTCCGCAGCTTTGGGAGCCTGAGGAAAGGTTTCAGGGTTTAGGGCTTATGGGGTCTAGGGTTTAGGGTTTACTCTCTGCGAGGTTGTACAATCTATCCTAAACACCCACGCACAGGGAGAGTAGAAGATAATGCAATAATGCTTCAGTTCTCAGTTAAGCCCGAAGCCGTGAAACCTGAATCAACCCTAGACTGCGCCGGAATGGGAGCTTCCGAAAAAATTAGGGGTACCTTACTTGGGGCCCTTAGAACAGGGATCCTACGATTTAAAGCACTATATATTAGGGTCCCTTATTTTCAGAAACTCCCGAATCCTAGAGCCCTGAAGCGCCCCACGACCCCAATCACTACCCTGAACCCTAAACCCTAAACCTCAGGGCCCTGTATCGAACCACTATCGAACCCCGAATCCTTAGCCCTGAACCCTACTAAACCCTATGCCTATACCCTAATTGCACCCGAAACCCCTAAGCCCTAAACCCTGAACCCTAAACTCCTCGTCCCTACCTGGACCCTACGGAACCTACCGTTTTAGGGTTCCCGAATATGATTTCTTTATATAAGTCCTTAAAAAGGTAGGTTACGTGGGGTTAAGGTACACCCTAAGGCCCCTACTCCACGAATCCTCGGTTATCCCGACACTTCTCAGATGCCGGTGCACGCGAAAATTCAGAGGGAGACTTCGAGTCCGTCGGTGAAGGAGGGCTTGGGGTTCGAGGGTTGAGGGTTTAGGGTTTAGGCCTTGTGGGGTTTACGGTTTAGGGTTTAGGGTTTGGGGTTTCGGGTTTAGGCTTTGGGGTTGAGGGTTTACGGTTTCGGGTTTGGGGTTGAGGGTTTAGGATGTATCTTAATTTGCATGGCTGTATCGGGTTTTGCAGCAGTGGTGTTTAGGGCGATTTGCTACGGTTAGATTTGTATAGAAGTATCCTCAGGTTGTTGAAGGTTGAATTCTCAAAGAGCGATGCCCTAAAGGTTGGGATTGTTGAAACTTGTCGGCCTTCATCCTGTTCCAAACGTTTTGGGGTAAATGGTTTGTTACACCACGACGAAAGTGATTCAGATCTGGTGATATTGATGGGATACTAGTGCTGCGACGGTTAGGGCTTAGTTGCAAAGGGATTCGGGCTTACAGTGGCAGGCTGTCGGGTGTGCTTTCGGTGTCCTGGGCTTGAAGTTTCGCAGGGTTTGTGGGATTTGGGGGTTTGTAACTAGTAATCAGGGTATTATCTTTGCCTTTCCGCTCGTAATGTCATTCTATGCACCCCGGAGCAGTTTCCTCGAGCCATTTCTCAAGGAGACGAGAATTAAAAATGAACGTCGAACGCCCAAAGCCTATGTTCTTTGCCACCGAGAATTACAAGCAATTTTAGGGGGGTTGGGGGAAGGAGGTAGGGGGCCTCAATACCCCTTACCACCGACGACGACTACTACGACGACTACTACTACACTACAAGACGACAAGTGGCACTACCACTACTACCACGACTACAACTACTAGTAGCAACCCAAACTTAAACCCTTGCACCCTAGAGCTACACGAGCCCTGCCCCGATGGGGTTTCTCAACAGCGGAGGGAAACAAAACAGCCCAAAAAAGATAATTCCTAGGGTTCAGGGTTTAGGGTAGTCTCCATTGTTGTAATTCCTGCTTTGGGTTACCTTATAGGGTCATGAGTATCGAGATGGTTGAACCAAAACAAGGAACTACAATAGAGACTATAGGTATAAATTCGGCGGTGCAAAAGCGTTATATCCTCATAATCCCCTACAAAGTCGTATAAGATCCGAGAACACCTCGGAAAACCTCATAGCACCCCTATTAGACAACAGCCCATACAACGCACTGTGAAACCCTTATAAGCCCCTGCATGGGTTTGTAAAGCCCTAAACCTTATACCCTTAAAACCCTATTGGAGCACTTGCATCCACCCGCAAAAAAGCAACCCGTGAAGGAAGCATAAATATGAGAAGCGAGGACACTTGGAGGGGCTCTCTGCCAATGCCTCTTATACGGTGCACCTGGGACTGTGTCACAAGGGACGTAAAGGAGCCCTAGATCAGCCCGAAAAGGTTTCAATGCCGAACGCCTGGACGCGCTTTACGAGGTATGGGTTTGGGATAAATGTGAATTTCCCTTTTTGTTTAATGTAGAGGCCTAATAGTGGATGATCTTGGGGGCCATTGAAATCGACACCTAGATTCAGATCCTCGCAGAAAAAGCCCGAAACCTTAATTATCGACTCTCCAAAAACCCCAGAATTCCGAAACTTAGGTTCCTGGAAGTCGACACCTAGTTTCAGACCCTGACAAAAAAGCCCGAAACCCTAATTATCGACCCCCAATAAACCCAGAACTCCGCAACCCTAAACCTACCCTAAACCCTTATAAACCCTTAAACCCCTAAACCCTTAAACCCCTAAACCCCTAAACCCCCTAAGCCCTAAATCCTAAACCCCTAAACCCCTAAACCAAAAAATCCTAAACCCTAAACCCTAAACCCCAAACCCGAAGTCGGAGCCGTGATGAGTGAGGGTATAGTAAACAGTGATGGTGAGGTTTTAACAAGCCTCATTTTGAGTGCACGCCTGAACCGGGCGGGCTGGCGAGCAATCAAAAGTCCGATGAACTTTACAAAAAAAACAAACCCAACCCAGAACCCCTCAACCCCTCAACCCCTAAACCCTAAACCCTAAACCCAACCCAGGTTCGTGGAAGTCGAAGGGGCCGGTCACAAGCTGCGCTCGCGGGAAATCTCGATCCCTCAGCGCGCCAGCCTGCCGCCTGAAACACCGGCAACGAGGGCGACGATGCTTTTAATAAGAGAATGTACCGGTCCCTTTAAGGGATCTATAAGGTTCCCTTAAGGGAGGTATATGGGATTTGTAGGGGGTTTTAAGAGAGGTTTATGGAGCTTTAAGGGTCCAAAGGACCCAATAATTGGGGACTCGGTTTTAGGATAGTAGTTATGTAGGTTAGGATTTTGGAGAGTTCAGAGTATATGATTTTTGGGTACTTGGACCCTTGGGGTAAGGGCTTTGGGTCCGGGGGCTTTGGCATGTCAAGGGACGTGGGTTTTACGGTCGAGGATGTTTTTTTTGTTTTCTTAAAATCGGGCTTCGCAGAATTCGTAGGGTTTGCAAAAGAGGTCTCAGACAGTCTTGCAGGGTGTGGAACCAGGAAGCCTTTTGTTCTGTTTCTGATAAGAAGAAAGGTTTACAACTAGAGTTTCATACGATGCTTTGATTCAAGAAGAGCTTCATAGTGTGATACCCCCTCTCAAGCAACTTCTCGGTGCCATTGGGTGACGAGTAAGGTCTCTCCAGACAGAATCGAGCATGCACACATGCACCCAGGTATGGTGAAGATGTGTTTTATTTCTTGAGCTGTAGCCTGTGTGTATGTATGTTTGTGTATACATATATGCCATAATATGTGGGCACACATGCGGATACGTACAGCATCATCAGCAACAACAACACCCGTATCCTAGTGGTAAGCGTAGGTATTCCCGACAATCGTAACTACAACAATAACCACTATCGTCAGTAGCACCAGATATCATACCGGCGGATGATAACCCTAAATCCTAAACCCTAACCCCCCTAAACCCCAAAACCCTAAACCTTCGGCTTTTGGAGCTTAGATGTACATGTTAGGACTCGGTTTCCACATCGCATCATGCAGCGCCCGTTGCTGCCCTTACTATTTAGCTGAGGAACCGTGACATTTTCTGTTCACAGTTGCTTATAGTCTCCATTGTAGTTCCTCTTGTTGCTTATGATCTGGGACCCTGAATACAAAAGTTGCGTCAACCAAAAAAGAAACTACAACGAAGACTGCATGTATATAGTACTGTTTTGCCAGCTCAAATTTTCGGGTATAGATGATGACATATATGGCCCTCCCGAAAAGCACTGACAGGTGTGCATTTTCTTTGGGGGGTACTACTACTTGGAGGTTCGTGGGTAGTTCTAAGTGGGATGATAAGTAGGGTAAGTATACTTGTAGCTCATATTAGGGGACTGATAACCCCGCGTATAACTACCCATGAACCTCCAAGTAATCCAACCTGCAATCCCTAAACAAACCCAAAACCATGGATCAAACTCCGAACCCGCTGGCTTCAAACTCTAAATGCTTCAAGGCCTTAACGCTCGACCCAAAGATCTGCACTCAAACCCAGAAGGCAAGAACATCAACCCCCAAAACCCCTAAGATTTTACATCTTAAGACCTACAAACCCTCATTAAAATCCTAAACCCTGAACCCTAAACCCTAAACCTACAAGCCCTAAAATCCTAGACCTCAGCAGACTCCTGTTAATCAAAGTAGGTGCTATTTATAGGCTTGCCCAAAGTAGGTGCTTTTTTGTATACTGGGAGTCGTAGGGTAACCCTTAAGGTTACGGAGAATAGGTTAAGTTACCATAATAGGGGTATCTATAGTTAATAGCATGGCTTCCTCTCATAATACTAACGCAACTTACATTCCTTAGCGAGAGCTCTGTCAAAGGGTTCTTCGGGGTCCTGGTAGGGTACCTCTTAAAGCGGCCCCTTAAGCCCTAAACCCTAAACCCTGAACCTAAACCCTAAAACCTAGACCCTAAAGCCTAGACCCTAAACCCTGAACCCTGAACCCTAAACCCTAAACCCAGATCCCTAGACCCTAAACCTCAAACCTCACATCGCGTTGCGAGGTCCGGGGAACTGGAAGCCCCACGAAGTCCAGAGTTGGGCTCTGACGTTGAGAGTGTCCGAGGCTCAGGGGGACTTCCTCTGTTCAGGGGTTTAGGGGTTTAGGGGTCTAGGGGTTTAGGGCTTTTGGGTATATGATTGGGGTTCAGGGGTTTAGTGGTTTATGGTCTAGGGGTTTTGGGGTTTAGGGGTTTAGGGTTTTTTGGGTATATGACTGGGGTTCATGGGTTTAGGGGTTTATGGTTTAGTGGTTCAGGTTAGGATTATTCCTTCAGGGTTCTGTTAAGCCTTCCTTTACGGGTTCCTTGAAAGGTAGCCAGGAGCTTCGTTGGAGGCTCATGGGTAGTTACAAATCGGGGTTATAAGTAGGGTAACCATAAGTAGAGTTCATATTTGGGGGACGCATATCCCCAATTATGCCTTCACGGTTCTTTCAGGGCTTCGACTAAGGGTTCCCTTTAGCCCTAAACCCTCTTAATGGCGCTTTAGGGTTCCCTTAAGTTACTCAGGGGGCTTTGTCGTTGACGGTGTGCGATTCTTCGGGGCTTACGGGTCTCTTTACAAGATTCCTTTGTCAGGGTTCCTTCAGGGGTTCTCTTAAAGTGGACCCATTTGAATAGAACCCTACAGTACCCTTCAAGGGGGCCCTATTCTAGAACCCTACAGTACTCTTAAGGGGGAGCCTAATATCAAACCCTATAGATCCCTTACAGGGTTCCTCTAAGGGTTCCTTTGGATGAGGGTATTTTAGGCTTCCTTTAGGCTTTCGCTTAATCCCTAAGGGTCCATGTATCCATATGAGTATACTTTGACCCCAAAGTACCTACATAGGGACTACATTGGGGCCTATGTATACAGCATAACGTACGAACCTGATTAGGAAACCCTGGGCCTATTTATAACACCAAAACAGAAGGATTCAAATAAGAAACCACAATAAAGGCCCAAGGTTTCTTCATCGGGTTCCTACCGTATTATAGTACCCTTATAGATCCCTTATAGTAACCCTTACAGACCCCTTTAAAGGAAGGTTTCTTGATCAGGTTCCTACATCAGGAGAACATGGACCCTCATTCAGGGAACCTTAGAGGAACCCTAAGGGAGCCCCGGAGAGGCTCAAGCCGAAGAGTTCAAAGGTACTGCAAGAGTTTAGGCTTTAAAATTGGGCTTTAGGATTAGGGTTTAGGGTTTAGGGGGAGGGGGTGCCTCGTTCGAAAGATGGTTAAGGGGTTTAGTGGGGGGGAGATGCTCTTGAAGGTGTTACAATTGTTTAGAGTCTAGAGTTCAGGGTTAGGGGCGGGAACGGCGCGGGGGTCCTTGAATTGGTGATATTTTGGTTTACTTGGTTTCGGGGTTCAGCCAGAAGCAATATTTAGAATTCAGAGTTGACTGATTTCTGCAATCCGATCCAAAACGATAGTTTATCTCCCCTGGCCTGCAGTTCGTCGCTTACGACTGAATCTCCCATGTAGTTCAGTCAGAGTTTACCGTTTTAGGGTTCAGAATTTAGGGTTCAGCGTTTTAGGGCTTCACGGCTGAGGGCTTAGCGTGGAGCAGACTCGAACAGGCCTTTAGGTGTTTTCCCTGAAAGAACGAGGCCAGAATTCACGCAGAAGCTGGCCGCCTACAATGTCAGTGGCGCCACGCTGCTGACTCTCGGCGAGGCCATGCAACTACTGGGGTTCAGGGTTTTGCAGTAGGGTTTAGGGTTTGGAGCACTGGGTGCTGCAAAGTTGAAAGCTTGTTGTTGGACTATGGATCAGCGTTCGAAGCAGCATCCTGGGCGCTTACCTGGCAAACCATTCCAACAATACCTGAGCCGCTGTAGGGTTCAGGGTATCGGTTTCATCCGGAAATTTAATTCACATCCTTGGCACAAGTGGATTTCTGCAGTTGAAATCCCATGCCCACAAAGCCTCGGAAAGTCAAGCCTCAACGACTGTTCTGCCTGTAAGGTTGAGTGGTACCTGCGCACGACATAATCCTGCATGAATCATAAGCCCTCACCGCAAATCCCTAAAGCTTGATAAATGAAGCTGCAAAGTCCAGACCCTGCACACTACCGAATCCTCGGCTTCACGTCTTCCAGCTGCTCAAGAACGATGCGCCAGTCCTGGTGAAGGTCGGCAAGGTAGCATGGTCTCTACTCCTCAGCGAGAGTGCCACTCCCTGGCTACGCTGCTCAACGACTATTTATTGTCTGAGCGTGCCGAACTTCGATCGATCTTGCTACAAGTGGCAGTTGCACGCGGCTCTGGTCGTGCAATCAGACACGACAGCTTGGCTCGCCCGAACAGGCTGTGCACGGGACCATGTTTAAGCACCACCAAGAGTGCCTCATGAAGTCTTGGGATCTCTGGCGACGAGAGCGAGACAACGTGAATGCAATGCCAAGGCCTATACCTTGGTCAACGAGCCCATTAAATGACAAGGACAACCCTGTAAGTCCTACAGCTATGCAAGAACCCCTTGTAAGACTCGCTGATAAAGCCCTGTGTATATAACCCCTATAGCACTCCTGATAGCAACGCTTAGTGGGTGATTGGGCGCCCGAAACCCTGAAACCGGTGCTGTTGGGGTGCTTGTCAGGCCGATCTCCACAGCTTCGGCCTCGTTGCACCCTTCCTCCGCCGGCGGGTGTCGGATGCTTTAAAGGTGGGTTAGCGGATTTTACGGTTTAGGGTGTGATAATAGGGTCTAGTTTTGTTGTCAGATTCAGGGTGTATACGGGTTTGGTAAGGATTAGTGCTCAAGGTCGTCAAGCAATTATATAAGCTTTGTAGCTTGCGAGAGTTGGAGGATAGCTTAGCGGTAGGGTGCTTCGGGTGATTTGAGATCAGGTCTAGACAGGCCTAACACAGAAGCGTGGATGACTAGTGACATTATTCTTGAGGGTTCCTAACATAGGTATGCTCCAATGTACCCCAAAGCTCTATTCTGATTATTTTTGTGCCGTGATTTATGGGCTCCACAGTTTTCAGAATATCCTAGGATGCGGCGACGAGGGTTCAGAGCCTATAGGGTTCACGGGCTCAAGGTGCCCAAATGGTATGTACGTTGGCCCCGAACGTTCCCAAACAGGGACTACTGTAAGGCCAAGGCCAACGTATCTGATATGTGTGTGTGTATATATATATATATGTATTATATATATATACATATATACATATATATATATATATATATATATATACATATACATATCTATCTATATATATATATATCTCTCTCTCTCTCTCTTAAAGGTTCCGAGAGGGGTTTCTTTAAGTTTTCCGATAGGGGTTCCTTGGTGGCTTCCTTTCATGAGGATTTGTTCAAGGCCTCTTCAAAGGGTTCCATAGGGGTTCCTGAACGGTCACAATACGGTTCAGGGAGAGTTCATGGGGTAGGGCGCAGGGTTTTGAGTTTATCTTGTGGGCTTAAGACCTGGCTTGACGAGCATTGGGGTATGGTGATCAATGGTTCGGGATTTGGGAATCAGGGCCTCGGGTTTAGGGTTTCAGGGCTTGGGGTTTAGGCTTGGGGCTGCAAGGCGCAGTGTTCAGAATTTTGAGGTTAGGGCTTTGGGCTTAGGGCTCAGGGATTCAGGTTGTGTGGGATTGCTTGGTCGGCAATCCATTGAGGATTGAATGAACAACTGCGAATACTTACCCGCATTGTGCCTTAGGCTTCCTTACTATAATTATAGTAATTATAACATTCCAGTACCCCAAGGCCCCCCCATATTTTGAGCACTGCCCAATGCCACAGTTGAGTCAAAGTTTCTAGATGAATATACATAGCTCTTAATACTGGCCGTTGTTGTTGACTGTTACAGGGTGTTGGTCGTGCCCAACCTGTATTGTGATCAGGTTTATTGAGACAGCTTAATGCTGCCATTGTCAACTCCACTGCTGCCTCCAGCTGGCTCGAAGACAGCGCGTGCTTTTCTTGACGGGATAGGTCAGATCCTGCAGAGATTTCGGGCCTGAGGTAAAGCAGGGGTCGGAATGTTTAGCAATAGCAAAAACAACAGCAAGAACTTTCCTGCAGAGTCTCTCATCCCCTAATAGATTAAGCCCTAAACCTTAAAGTCATGTTAAGACATAGCACACCGAAACGGTGGTTCAAGCAATATTCCACACTAACATCACGAAGACGCAGAAAATCCTTTCAGAGAAACGCTTCAGATTACGGGTGACGGGATGAACTCGTCAACGTCTTCGAGGATGGGAGCCTCAAGTTTCCGAAAATCTACACCCTCAACCGCCAGAAACCCTAAACCCCAAACACCAAACGTTACATAGATCCCACTTGGAGGTTTATGGTTAGTTACAGGTCAGGTTAGTTAGAAGCCCCCAAATTTACATAGGCTATTATTATAGTCACCCTACTTACTCTTTAACTCCAGGCTTCAGAGCTTTCCTGCTTCCTTTCCAGTCTTGCTTGGTGCGGTTTAGGGCGACTTGGCCAAACAATGGCCGCCCGAGCACCACAGCTCGCTGCCGGCGGGAGCGAGAATCAGTTCTTCGAAAAGGTGGGGTTGGGTTGAAGCTATGAGGATTCATATAAGGAGCCCTAATAAAGACCTAAAGTTTCTCAATCAGTTCCTACATTAGGGTTTAGGGTTGGATTGAAGCTGAACCTTGTAGGGTGTAGGGCCTTGTGGGGCTGCAACTCAGAGTCAAGTAGGTGAGCTGGGAGGAGGCTGGCTTGGATGAGTTGAAGCCGCAACATCCCGAAACCCTAGGTCCATCTAAATGCTAATGCCTAAAACCATCTCCTAAATTCTTAAGCACAAGTTTTGCCGCCCTAGCCTTCAAAGTGCATCCGGCAGTCTCGAGGTGGAGGATAGCCCCACCAGCAGCGACCAGGACAGCGACAGCGACGAAGTAGCTTGGCACAGGGAGACTTCGGGTTCCTGCAAGTGTTTCGGTTTTAGGGTTTGCTCATGGGTTTGGGGTTTATCAGGAAGTCCGAGAGTTCTGGATCCCTTTGAGGATTTAGGGTTCGAGGTTTTTGTGTAGCATCTTAGGGTTCCTGGCAAAGTTTACCTAGAGAGTTCAATCTTTTTCGGCTCATGAAACGGGGCAACTAAGGTAGTTGTCAGCTTTCGCAAGCACAAGCTGTTCTGCTGCTGCACGATCTGTTCGTGGCTTCGGCTCGCATTGGCAGTTGCGGTTGAGGGTTTGAAAGCAACTATAGCCTCCTCAGGAATTATGTTTTACTTTTGTTCATGTAAGCTGTAAAAAATATTGTTTTTATCATGGTTCGAAGGGGGTTATAGTAAGGGCTGTAGTACCAGAGGTCATAAGACATGAAGAACGATGCGGCAGGGAGTTCGAGTGTGTTCTGTTTCCCTCGACTAAGCTTCTTAATTTTTGACGGTCCAAACTGTAGGAAGGCCATGGGCTTACCCTAAGGGTCCATGTATCCATATGAGTATACTTTGACCCCAAAGTGCCTATATAGGGACTACATTGGGGCCTATGCATATACTATGGGAGCACATGGACCCTCAGGGTTATGGTCTCGGATTCAAGAACATCCGTTACATGATACTTTCAGTGTTCTTGGCGCAGCTTCAACTTCATGTTTACTGCCTATAAATTTCAAAACCCCCTACACCAAAAGGTCCTAAACCCCAAAACCCTAAACCCCGAAACCTTTATAGTACCCTTGTAGAGCCTTTGAAAGGAACCTTTATGATCCCCTGTTAGAGGAGCCCGAAGCACGACACGCTAAACTCCTAAACCCTCAGCCCCAAACCCCAAATCAACCCTACATGTTCTTATCGAACCCTTAATTTAAAGGAACCCTTACAGGAACCGTTAGAGTCCATTGTTTATAAAGGAAGCCTTACAATGCTCTGTAAAAGGAGCCCTCAAAGAACTTCCTGGTCTGGTGTGGCCCTTTATAGATCCCTTCAAAGGAACCCTTACAATCTCGGATCCCCTTCAAAGGAACCCTTAAAGGAGCCCTTGATAATCCCATACTTTGTTCTCCTGGGTTACTTAAAAGCCCAGAAAAGGTCTTCCTTGTGTGGCCCTTTATAGATCCCTTTCCAAGGAACCCTAAACCCTAAACCCTTAAAGGAACCCGTATAGTGCCCTTTAAAGGAGCCCTAAAAGGTCTTCCTTGTGTGGCCCTTTCAAGGAACCCTTATCATCCCGGATCCCGTTCAAAGGAACCCTGATATCCCCTTTCAATAAAAGGTCTTCCTTGTGTGGCGTTCTGGTCCTCCTCATCGCCTTCCTCGCCTGGCAAGCCAAAGGGCTGGTGGCCATCGGCGCCTGGGATTCGGGCTTAAGGGGGGGTGGGGTTAGGGCTCTATAAGGCTCCCTTAAAGGGGATTCTAGGAGTTCATTAAAAGGGCTCTATAAGCTTACTATAAGGGTGTAGATTCGGGCTTTTACCCTTGGGGGTTTGGGGCTTTAAAGGTTTAGGGGTCAGGTGGTTTTGAGCTTGGAGCTTGGGATTAAGGTTTAGGGAGGATTTAGGCGTATTTAGGGCCTAGGGCTTTGGGAGTTTGGGGGTTTCGGCAAAGTTTAGGGATTAGGGGTTTAGGGGTTTTAGAGATGCAGGACTTAGGGATTTTGGAGTTTAAGGGTTAAGGTTCAGAGTTTAGGGCTGAGGGGGATCCGGATATGGGTTTAGGGATTTGAGGGTTTGGGGGTTAAGGTTCAGAGTTTAGGGTGGAGGCATTAACGTTCAGGGAGTAGGGCTTACCAGACCCTGAAATGCAGTACTTATTCGTTGCCACGTTATTTTTTTAATCATAGGGTCGTAACCATAAAGTATGTCATCCAATTTAAAAAAGGTACTACATTTACGGAGCTGGGTAGGGTTCGGTTCATGTGCAGGGATGAGGGATTGGGAAAAAGGGCTTAGGGCTTAGGAGTGAATTACTGTTCAGTAGTAATATGTAGTAGTAGTAGTAGTAGTAGTAGTATTAGTAGTAGTAGTAGCAGTAGCAGTAGCAGTAGCAGTAGCAGTAGCAGTAGCAGTAGCAGCAGCAGCAGCAGGAGCAGTAGCAGTAGCAGTAGCAGTAGCAGTAGCAGTAGCAGTAGCAGTAGCAGTAGCAGTAGTAGTAGCAGTAGCAGTAGTAGTAGTAGTAGTAGTAGTAGTGGTAGTAGTAGCAGTAGTAATAGTAGCAGCAGTAGTAGTAGTAGTAGTAGTAGTAGTAGTAGTAGTAGTAGTAGTAGTAGTAGTAGTAGTAGTAGTAGTAGTAGTAGTAGTAGTAGTAGTAGTAGTAGTAGTAGTAGTAGTAGTAGTAGTAGTAGTAGTAGTAGTAGTAGTAGCTAGTAGGAGTAGTAGTAGTAGTAGTAGTAGTAGTAGTAGTAGTAGTAGTAGTAGTAGTAGTAGTAGTAGTAGTAGTAGTAGCTTAGTTCCAGTATATACTTGCGCCCTCTACCTTAGCCTTGGCCCCTAAACGCCAAGCCCTCAGCTGCTGCAGCCGAGGCACATTCAATGCGATCGAACCGCGCCTCACTCCGAAGCAATTTCCCCGCTACAGCAGCTAGGCAAAGCCACTGGGATACTTTGCAATGTGCCCTTTTCAGTGCCGTAAGGTTTAAGGTTTAGGGTTGGGAAGAGAAGGACCTGATTTCCCAATAGTCTTCGACGGCTTTTTAAAAGGACCAACTTAGGTAGCTGTGGTGGATGCAGGGAAGGGAACAAGACGAATGAGGAGATTGAGAAGTGCATCAAGCCCTGCTACAACTTGAGCTACCCGCTTGCCAAGCAGAACTATTTTCTTCTGGTCCATTCTGCGCAAGTTTGTCGACACGGCGTAGGGTGTTGGGTGTGGGTTTGGGATGTAGCATGTAGGGTTTAGGATGCTTCCGAGTAGATCTCTCATCTTCCCAGCGACCGGACCCTCAAACAACGTGACACCTGAACAACGTGACACCTGGTTGGAGGTTTCGTCTTGGAGTGGGAGCGCTTCAATGCAGAGTATGGCTACGAGCTGGTGTGCTCCGGCCTGACCTTGCTTGCTTTCTGTCCGTAGCAAGAGTTGCTATCACGGTTTGGGTAAGTACCCCCCCCCCCCCCCCCCCCCATACAGCCACTTAGGACCGTTTGGCAATTGCTCACTGAATAGCAGCTGCATCAGCACATACTTGGAGGTTAATGGGTACGTATAAGATAGAAGTATCTACACGGTTATGAAGCCCCTAATGCGGTTTGTAGTTGTAGTTACCCTTGCTTCTAACTCCACTTCCAACTACCCATGAACCTCCAAGTGGGCCCGAAACCCCATACCCTTATAGAATCCCTATAGATCCCTTTCAAGGGACCCTTCGAGGAACCCTTATAACTACCCATGAACCTCCAAGCCGCGCCTAAAACCCCTATCCTTATAGAATCCCTGTCCCCTTATGGGATCCTTAGCCATAGATCCCTTTAAAGGGACCCTTAGAGGAACCCTCATAACTTGTATAACTACCCATGAACTTGGACTCCAGCCGGGGGAAACAACAGGCTTTATCTGGTCTTCCTGACACCGTGGGCCGGTCTACGGTGGCACTAAAACCCTAAACCCTAACGTTTAGGGTTTAGGGGTTTAGGGGTTTAGGGTTAAGTGGTTCAGGGTTTAGGGGTTTAGGGTTTAGGGTACCTAAATCGCTGAAACCTAAATCGCTGAAACCCTTAATCCCTAAACCCTAAACCCTAAAATTTAGGAGTTTTGGGTTTATGGTTTAACCCCTACCTTAACCCCGAAGAAGCTACTTTTTTGGGGATCCATATTCTGACTTCCTTATACAAGACCTTAAAAGGATTTCTAGGGGGTCCAGGTAAACCCTAAACCCGCTTACTCTAAGATTTTGATGATGCACGTTGCTGCACCGCCAGGGTTGTGAAGCCCCACATCCCCAACATTTTGAGTGGTAATGTCTGGTCTGTAGTCTCGGCGACAGTCTGTAGAGGCCACGGTTTAGGGTTTAGGGATTTTTGTAGTTGTGGATCGACCCTGAGCTTAAGTCCTAAGTCCTAAGGTTTTTTTGTGTACCCAGACGCCTGCAAGTCCTCTTCAGCAAAGCCAAAACAAACTGCCGGAACGGACCACAATGAAGCACACCATAAATCCCCAGACCATGCAATAGTCTAGATAGAATTACTTACGCAGGCGACGTAGACTTTCAACATATATAGGTCCAATAACAGAAGGATACGACAGCCCTAAACCTGCACGACCTAACCAAAGACAACACGCGGCAACTAAGGCTTCTCACCAAAGCCTCAACCGGCGAAATGTATCTAAGCTAACGGGGTCTGAACAAGTAGGATCAGCATTCCGTTATAGTCCACTCTTAGTACAATCGACTCCTCAATCCTGTTTGAATGACTCAGGGTCTTAGACTACGTAAGCTAGCACCGTTTGTAGGTACTTCCCCTCGCGGCCGGGTCCGCAAGGGGAGCCTTCTGTGAACATTTCAGCATGGTGGCTGCCAGCACCTCCGACGGCTGCTCGGGCCTCGTTTTCAGTAGTACTGCGTGTCGATTAGACAAACGGGCTGTTTCTTTCATTGCTGATTAGTTTGTTTGTATGTTTTCTCACCCTCAAAACCCTAAGCCCTAAGCCTACAACCCTACATCCTTAAACCCTAGACCTAAAACCCTAAACCCTACAACCTTAAACCCTAAGCCCTAAAGCCATAATCCCTACAACCCTAAACCCTAAGACCTAAAACCCTAAACCCTACGACCGTAAACCCTAAACCCTAAGCCCTAAGCCTAAAGCCGTAAGCCCTACAACCCTAAACCCCAAGACCTAAAACCCTAAACTCTACAACCCTAAACCCCAAGACCTGAAACCCTCTAAGCGTATCCCCTCGAAAACCTAAACCCTGAGCCCGACCTAAAGCCACAAATCTGCGTGACTAGCCCAACACCTACAACAGATTGCACAAGGCCTGCTACCAGGACGCCCCCCAATGGCCTCTTAATAGAGCCCCTATGGTCCTTAATAGTGGCTACTTGGGGCACAATAGAGGGTAGTTGGGGGGTCTAGGTACAGCTTAGGATTTAAGGTTTAGGGTTTTATTATTGTACGTACGTTTGGGGTCGAGGTATAAGCCCCAAAACCCTAACCCTAAACCTAAATACGGCTCAGGCTAGAGGTCCTGCACCACGCACCTGGAGCCAAGTTAGAAGAGCTTTTTCTGTGCCTTTCATTCGGTTCCCGACAAGTTTTTCGGGTTTCGGGTTTAGGTATGTGTTTTTTTTTTTTCGGTGTCTGCTTTTCTAACCCTAAACCGGTTAAAGAGTCCAAAATCAAAAGTTTTCGGTGTAATGTAGGACCAGCTTCGTGGGTTTAGGGATTTAGGGTTTAGGGATGTTTAGGGTAGGAGTATGTCCCTCTTTCCTGGCAGAATTGCCTGCTAGGCATTGTGGTTCTGCACGGCGTGGGCTCCAACAACAATCACTGCGCCTCGTCCCCTCAGCTGAGCTTCTTTGCGTGGAGGGTCGGGGGACTAGTTTGTTTTCGGGTACTTCTAAGATCTTCTAAGTCCATTTACTACCTACTTACTAAGTCCCCCGACCCTTCAAGTGTGGGCCTTTTGCATGGTTGCGGATGTGCAGGTACCTCTACAGTAGAAAGTTCTGGTTAGGTAACCCCATAAGAATGGTACATAGGACCTTACTTGGAGCGTCGGGGACTTGGTAAGTAGGTAGTAGGTAGACTTGTAAGTACCCTAAAAGGGACCCTAATTGGGTTATGGCACTTATAAGTCCCTAAAATAACCAGGTACTAAGTCCCGCGACCCTCCAAGTAGGGGAGGCAAAAGTTTGCAAGAATATTCAGGTGGAGTGCAAGCCACTTGCTTTCTACTGCGATCCATCGGTTTCAGCTGCCTCACCCCAAGCGCAAGAGACAACGGCCTCTCGGGCAAGTCGACGCATCCGGAGACTACGCTCTTGTTAAGGAGTTTAATTTCAGTTACCGTAGTAGGCATCTATAGTAAATTAGAAGGTTTCATTGTTATAGCAATTTAATCCTTAACAAGAACCTAGGAGATTACGAGCTGGGCCTACGACTATCACCTTGACGTCGCCTGGACATTACCTTCAGGACTTGGATATGAGGAGCTAGTGCAATGTTCACAGGTTGAGAGGTGGGACATGGGGCTCGCAAAAGCGATCTTCGGAATGTAAGATCCAGAGCAGTAGGAAGAAAGAACACAAACAACGGATCCTGAATTCAAGATGCCGCGATACTGACGCTGGACTTTAAACTCAGCGCTTCATGCGACCAGACGGATGTGGTTGAGGGCTGTAGGGCGAAGCTCCAATCATCCCCTGCGACAAAATCTCCCGGTAAACTCGGTAAACTGCTGCAGATCATGTACATGTCTGTCGTTCACTCAACCTTAGAGCCTTGGAGTTTAGGATTTGGGGTTTAGTGTTTCATGTTAAGCTTCGCAGCAAGTGAAGAGCCTGCAACCATGTCCACTGGCCTCCAAGTGACTTCGGCACCATGGTAGCATGCATTGTGAGCTTCCGCAAACTCAAAACCCGAAGCTCTAAATCCTAAACCCTTAAAACCCCAAACCCCCAACCCGACACACCCTACACCCCGAAACCCGAATACCCGTTCACTAAGGGATATAGTCGTTTGGATCAGAATATTAAGCCCCGTTGGGATTTAAGGTGCCTTCTTGAGTCAAGGGGTATTAGGCGGTAGGAGCATTCGAAAGATGGATAGTTTCTTGGGCCCTGTCTTTGGATCGAAGCTTCACTCGGCCTTGTCAACATCCCAAAGACGAGTTAGTATGTAGTACAGTATGAAGTTAGGGTTCAGGGTTTAGGGTGCAAGGATTAGGGTTCAGGGTATCATAGAAAGAGACACAGCAGCCATCAGCATTTGAGGTAAATGTTCGCAGAAGTACACATAAAGGATACAGTATGTCCACATTGTTCTACATTTTTGTGCATAGTACATCACCGCATATGTACGTACAGACACACATACAACAAGCACAGCTTAGGAGCCAACAGAGCACGCAAACATCAACTTTCGGGTGGGGCATCCCTATCTTGTCGGCTTAACTAAAGTAGGGATTCTGGGATATCCCAACCTTATGGTTTCTTTAAACCCTAAACCCCTAAACCTAAACCCCTAAACCGTAACTTATGGTTTCTGTTTAGGTCCTCTTTTGGGTCCCTAACAGCGACAGCGACCAAGGCTCTTGGAGCCTGGGACTACGCAGTGGAGGATCCTGATGCTGTGCTCTTCTTAAGGTTTAGGGTTGAGGGTTAAGGATTAGGGTTGAGGGTTTAGGGGTTCAGGGTTTAGGGTCTAGGTACCATCTGTAAATAATATGGTTTCGTTTTTGTGGTAACTGAAAACAAGCCAAGTAATCCTTTGAACCTTAAACCCCTAAACTCTAAATCCCCAAACCCTAAACCCTAAACCCTAAACCTTAACCCTCAACCCTAAACCTTACCCTAAATCCCCAAACATGAACCAAGGATGGGGTTCTTGGTGGCCCTTTGCCACCGAGCAAAGTTGGTCTCATGGGCTTCTCCAAAGGCGCTGGGGTTTGGGGGGTTTAGGGTTTAGGGTTTACAGGGTTCACAGGGTTCAGGGTTTAGGGTTTAGGGCTTATAGGGTTTAGGGTTTACAGGGTTTAGGGTTTACAGGGTTCAGGGTTTAGGGTTCAGGGTTTAGGGTTTAGGGTTTACAGGGTTCAGGGTTTAGGGTTCAGGGTTTAGGGTTTACAGGGTTCAGGGTTTAGGGTTTATAGGGTTTAACGTTCATAAAGGGGTCTATGGTGTTCTTTAAGGGTTTAGGGATGATATTGGGGTTTAGGGTGTAGGGATCCTTTAAGGGGCCTATAGGGTTCTGTAAGGGTTTATGGGATTATATTGAGGTTTAGGGTTTAGGGTTCCGTTCAGGGGTCTATAGGGTTCTAGAAAGGGCTTATAGGGAGTATAACTACGAGGTTTAGTCCTCCAACGACCCTGAAAGGAAATGGAACAACAATGCAACAAATGCACGCGCAGCCTTAGTAACAACCTTTGCTCTGGTACGACACAGGATTTAGTAAGACCTTGTTGCTACTGCGTTGTACGACGACTACTACTACGCCAACAACGACGGCGACGAGGACCACCACAGTTGTACAGTAACCCACTATCAGTAGTATTTCTGCCCACCACCCTACTTCCTCTACACATCTCTTGCATACTACTACGGCGACGTCGCCGGAAATCGTATCACTCCCGCAGCCAGCATTCGTATATATGTATGCCTATGCAGATGCTCATTAGTATTATGTACACTCACACTCACATAGACACACACACACACACACACACATGCTGTGCACATACAAAATGCATGTTTCCATCATTACCTACATGCTTACCTGCTTGCTTCCTTCCTTCCGTGCCTCTTTCGTTCCTACCATCCGTCCTGATTTACAGACAGGCAGACAAGCACGCGGACATGCCTGCATGTGTCTCCGGAGAATGCACACGAAATGAGCACACATGCGAACAAGTGTATGTGTCTGCACATGAAAGGGTTTACCGAAGCATTCGTGTCTGTCAGTCGATCCGGTTTGTTTGTGTGCTGGTGCTTTACAAGCTAGGTACGTGCTGCAAGTCAGAAAGCAAGCGGACGTATTTGCAGATGCCCGGCCCTGTTTGTATGTTGTACATCTTCCTTCGTATGGTCATGCATTGAAGCGTGGTTACAAACACATATGCTTGCAGATGTCAGTTTTATTAATTCACGATGTTTTGTTTACTGCTGGCCGTCGTGCACATATTAGCATCTGCAAACAATCATGACATATATTTATATGTACCAGAAGTATGTGTATGCAGGGGCGTGATTACTTGGTCCATGGTCGCCCACTCACGGAAATATGCCTCTTTTCCCAGAAAAATCGACTTGACATGTACGAACATGTGCGTGGAGACGGGTGTGTGTGTGTGTACACATATATATATATATATATATATATACATATATATATATATATATATATATAATATATATATGGTGTCACCCCCCCCCCATGATCCACCTATATATACATATAAGGTTACACATGTAGTCGCAACATACACGCACATGCAGTCAAACGGGGGAGGAAGGTAGGGTGGGAGAGGATCTCCAGGCTAAACCCTAAACCCTAAAAGCCCTAAACCCTAAAAACCCTAAACCCTAAATAGTGGTTCTTGCAGGGTTTCAGGATTCTAACTTCCTTCTTCCCAGCACGCCTGAGCTGAACTCCTAAAGTGTAAGCTTTACGATGACGCCGGCACATTATCTCCCGAAACCAAAAACCGTACCTGCTAGATCCACCTTCTTCTTTAGGGCTCCTTATCAGGATTTTACTATAACCCTTAGGGTCCATGTATCCATATGAGTATACTTTGACCCCAAAGTAACTATATAGGGACCACATTGGGGCCTATGTATATACTATGGGAGAACATGGACCCTCAGGGTAACGTAGCCAGGAATCCTATTCCGTTGTTTGAGGGTTTAGGGTTTACTGTAGTCTGTTTAGGAAGTATTTTTCATTTTTGTTCATGTAAAACCCAGGAGAATATTAAACATGCCGTTTTCATTATGGTTCTAAGAGGGGTATGGTTTAGGGAGCCCCTATGTTAAGCCCCTTCCAAAACCCCTTGCAGTAACCTTGCTAGACCCTTTGAAGAGTCCTCTTTTGGAGCCCTTAAAGATCCCTCACAGGATCCTTAAAGGAACCTCTATAGACCCTTCGAAGAATCCTTGAGAGCATCCCAAGAGGTTAGAGGCCGCAGTAAGAAACCCGATAAGCCCATAAGCCCCAATAAGAAACCCCATAGCACCAAAAAAGGAACCCTTAAAGGAAGCCTCTACACATATAGATACCTAGGAGTGTATATATATATAATATTAGATGATATACATACAAGTATATAGGAACCCAAGAGGTGCCTTGGAGACCGCCATTGCCTTTGGCATAGAGCAACGCGCTCCCGGTGCTTGGCTGGACTCGGGCCCCTATGGGGGTCTCTTTGGGATGATTCAGTCGGTTCTTTCCCAGGCGATTGGCAGGAGACTTGGCGACTTTCTCGCAAGAATTGTTTTTTTCTGGGCCAAAATCTTCACGGGCAACCGTGTGGACGTCTTGAAGCCGTTGGTGTTGCTGCACAATTGCACTCCCGGGAACGTGCGGAACGTGCTGATTGCCCAGAGCACGCTGGACGCCGTCGTCCCCATCAAGTATGCAGGCATCGCAAATATGGGGGGTTTCCGAAAATAGGGGACCCTAATATAGTACCCTAAGTAGTAGGATTCTTATTATAAGGACCCCAAAATAAGGTACCCCGTAATTTTCGGAAACTCCCATATGCAGGCATCGCGATTTCGACCCTTTCTGGGCTTCCTAGCTGCTATTCGGTGCGCACCTTCACGCCCCCGCAGTACCTTACTTAGCCAATTGGAGAACTTTAAACTTTTTTCCTTTATGTAGTTGGTCTATCTTACAAAGTCTGAACTTTGCTGGGGCCTGGTTATTGGAGAAGAGAGGTACTGCAACGGTGCAACGCATCACCAGGAGATGTGGGAGTTCCCAGATGACACCCGGCGCAAGCTCTGCGATTTCTGGAGCAGTACTTTCAAGCAAGATGCGGCTTTCTGCAACCTTGAAAACCAGCCGGATTTTCAGACCTGGTCACCCGAAACTCCTTTACCTCCGGGCAGCCCTCCCACTCCAATCTTGAACTGATGTGGGGGGGACCATGGGCCCGTCCCGACGGCATATGGGAGTTTCCGAAAATTAGGGGACTCTAATAAGGTACCCTAAATAGTAGGACCCTTATTATAAGGACCCCAAAATAAGGTGTCCGTATTTTCGGAAACTCCCATATCTATTCATTCTTATGCCAGTTCAAGCCGCATGTCTTGGCTTGTAGATGTCTTCAGAGGTATTCTCCGCATAAGAAGAACAAGCTTGGTGAAGGCCGCAGGCTACATGGCCTCAAGCCATGTATCGTTTTCTAGGACTTAACTTTAGAGCGAGGTCAGCAGGTACCAAAAAGGGCGTGTCGTGGCCTTGCTAGGGTTTAGGGTTCAGGGTACATCTTATGAAGCCGAAAAAGCTTACATACAAAACCGGAGACTTTCTGTCCCAGCCCTATATCCATTCAGGCCCCACACCCCATACTTGGAGGGTTGGGGGACTTAGCGACTGATTTTTTCATGAGCTTATAAGAACCATAACCCCAATTGGGTTCCCTCTTGGGGTACTTATAAGTCTACTTACCACCTACTTAAAAAGTCCCCCGGCCCTCCAAGTAGACTCAAGTCCGTGAGCTCGTGGATGTGCGGCTTCGGCCAGCGGTCTTGCGATCCTCAAACCCCAAAGTAGAAGCCAGAACGTTGGAACATCATGCTCCTCTCATAGGAGGCCAAAAGGCGTTTTAGCCTATGGGGGTTTAGTAGGGATTAGGGTTCCCATAATAGGGTTCATATCCCCACCCAAGAATCTTAAACCCCGCCTTTTGGCTTTTGGCCTCCCATCATCCTCCTGCCCTTGAGGTAAAGCACAGGGGATCCCAGCACTGATCATCCTAAATCCATGTTGATTCACTATACACCCGGATCCCTGTACCCTATCCCTAGACCCCAGACCTTGAACCCTATACAGCCTATACCCCAATCCCGAATCCCTATACCCTAAGCCATGAGCCTGTGCCCTAATCCCAAATTCCGAAGCCCTCAGCCTTATGTCCCTAAACCCAAATCCCTAGACCTTATAAGCCCTAATCCCTAAATCCTAAACCTAAATGGGAGTTTCCGCACCCTTATGTACTAGCCTAAATCATCGGATCCTTATTATAGGGACCCCAAATAAGGTACCCCTAATTTTCGGAAACCCCCAAATCTCTATCCCTGGACCGGCCGACTGCTTCGACATGTCGGCTCTCACAACTGGAGCTTCTCAACCGCCATTCCGGAGCTGCTCAGCTCTTATGCGCAGCTTACGAGTACCATGGGCCAGTGCAAAAGGAACACTTTTTTTAGGGTTTACTGGGTTTAGGGTTTAGGTTGCAGAAGGAGCACGGTTGAGGAAGTTTAGGGTAAAGAAGGAACAGACATGACCTCGGATCTCAGACTTTAACACCAATGTCGAAGTCGGCATGAGCAGCATACTCCTTGAGCACGACTTGACGCCTTTATCACTCCGGCAAAATAAAGGCATCTGAGTATACTGCTCAGTATAGCTTGCGCCAAAACCCACTTGCATGATATGAAGCCCAACCAAGTTGCAGCGAAACTGCAGCGGATCTCTTAGCCCCTCATAGACGGGCCTGAACCCTCAGACACCCATGGGCACTCCTAGCGGTGCATGTCCCTACGGCGGGCGGCTGCTCCCGAACCTCCGCGGAGGTTTGGTTCCCCTGTGACCCAGGGTTTAGGCGGTTGCAGGGTTTCTGATGCCGCAGCCTTTTCATGCCGCTTTGATACCGGGTGGGAATGCCTTGGTTAGCAGCCTTTGCAACTAAGAAGGAACCTGCTGTTCAAGATTTCTGCTCAGGGCAAGTGGATGCGAATGCTTGTTCTTATTGTTACAGAGCCCTCGCCATCAAATTGGTTGTCCAATCAGAGAATACAAGTCGGGGTCTAGGTAAACCCCTAAACTCTGAATCCACAAAACCCTAAAAGCCTAAACTCCTGCCACGAACCCAGAAAGCCCTTAAGGGAACACTAAAAAAGCCTCGACTTGCTCAACCAAAAGACAACATCGCCTCAAAACTTGGAGGTTCATGGGTTGTTTGAACGGGCGTTATAAGTTCTTCATCATGGGTTTGAAGGTAGTGTTCATGGTTTTTGATGGGGTTAAAGTTCTTCAATATGGGTTTTAAGTATCGCTGCCCTACTTGAAGCCGCATTTCTAAGTACCCATGAGCCTAGAAATTCCCTCACGGGGCTGCTTGCTGCACAGATCTCAAGTGCTCTCAGCTGCTGATTTTTATGGTATCACGCAGTATTCAGGGTTTGGAGGGCTTCTAGGGTTTGCAGGGCTTCCTTCAGGCCTTTGGGGCCTTAGGGTTTATGGGGCTCATAGGGTTTGTATTGTTTTGGAGGGTGTAAGGGTTTAGGGTTTTGTGGTTCAGGTTTCAAGGTTCGGGTCAAAGACAAGGCTTGGACGTATACGATGTGCGGTCACATTTTCACTCAAGGGACCTATCTTTGTTAGGGCATGTAAACCCTAAACCGACACGCCACACCCTATATGAGGACATTATAACGAGGAAGCCTTAGCAAAAAACCTGTACTTGAAGGACCGTTGGACAGGGCTTTTGTGTATGGGCGGCATTGCGCGGGGACGATACGAGCAGTCGAATTTCCAATTCGCAGACGCCCCTGTTGGCACGGCTTTTGGACTGCAAAGCCACCTAAAGAGTAGAGGTTTAGTGATCCTATGAGTGTACTATAGGGTTTCCTGTAAAGGGATACTATGAGGGTACTATAAGGGTCCCTTTAAAGGGATACTATGAGGGTACTATAAGGGTGCCTTTAAAGGGATCTATGAGGGTGCTACAAGGGTCTAGGGTTTAGGGTTCAGCCCGGAGCCTTCACCTTAAGCCTCTTGCTTCCGCCAGGTTGTTTCCTCATCTTTCTCTTTGCTTCTCTTGCTTGCCGCAGCCGCTCGGTTTCGGGTTTACGGCTTGGAGTTTAGGGTGCGCCGCAGCCCGTCTGCTCTTTTGGGCAGGGAGGAAGGGACGCAATTGATCCTGTCAGAGGTCTTGCATGTGCGAATGTGACTGTCATTTGATACACATAACTCCCATAACCCCGAGTTTGGCATTAGGGTGTGGATGTGTATTTGATTGTACATGTGGCATTCCATTGACGTTGCTTTTTCGTAATTTCGTTCTGGATGCGATGACACTTGAAACCGAAGCCCACACATCGAAACTCTACAAGGTCTACAGCCACAGCAGAAGGAACGTAAATCCTAAGAGACGGTAAAGCCCCAAAGCCTAAATCCAGAACCTTCAAACTCCTCAGTAGTTCCGTATTCCCTTTTTGTTAGGGTTCAGGTTTCCCTTCTAAGCCCCTTCAAACCAAAGTTGGCACCCTTGTATTCCTGGGTTACTCTTGGGTCTAGACCCCAAACCAGCAAAAAAGAAACCTTGACTCTATTCCTCCGGCACACCCCTGAACCCCAAACTAAGGGGTTCTTGGAACTAATTTTAACTTTTGGTTATTATGATCCTTAAGAACCAGCTAGAACTATAATTGTTGCTAGGTGTCTGAGTTCAGTCTTGCAAACCCGAATCCCTAAACCTTACCATGTTTGTCCTTCGCAACAGTCCCACCCTAAGCCACACACATCCAAGGCTTCGTTGGCAGCTACCCTGCTTTACCTGTGCCATGGCCTCCAACCGAAGAGTGGTGGGATTTGGGGGTTTAGGCGTTAAGATTTCGGGTTCAGAGTTTACGGGTTCAGGGGCTAGAACCCTAAACCCTAAATTCGGGTTTAGGTGTTAAGATTTTGGGTTCAGAGTTTACGGGTTTAGGGTCTACAAAGCCCTAAACCCTATATCCTAAACCCTAAATTCGGGTGGCACGAGCAGCCGGAAGGTCCGTAGGGCCTTGACCACCAGCAGCCACGACAGCCCTCACAGCAAAAGCGTTCGCTGCACAATGACTACGGCGATGTTGCATTAGTTCTTGAGTATAAGTATCATCGGCTCATTTTATCTCAGATTTGTCTTTTTACTCCTTCAGCGGGCTAGCGCAAAGTATCCCCACGATCGCGATCACCGTCAAGAGACTCTGATTGTGAGTGTAGCCCTGCTGATTGAATATGGTAGCAGCTTGTAACGAGCGATGATCATGAAGTTTCTCATTGTGGACTGCTGTTTATCTGTCGCAGTTCTGATTTAGGGCGGTGGTGAGCGAGTTAGGCAGCATTGTAAGTAACTAGTGCTTGGAGGGTCGGGGGACTTAGTAACTGGTTATTTTAGGGACTTATAAGTACCATAACCCCAAACTAGGCTCCCTTTTAGGGTACGTATAAGTCTACTTCCTACCTACTTACTAAGTCCCCTAAAGACCCTCCAAGAGTTGAGGCTTGGAAGGATCGGGAAAGTCATAAGAGCTGTTTCCTCCTGTATGTACTGCCCAGCCAGAGCCTCCAAAACCCCTTAATTAAGGAATATACCTTAAATCATATTAGGGCTCCTATTATAAGGTATATTCCTTAATTAAGGGGTCTTGGAGTCTCTGGGGGTGGCCTTGAAGGGGTTTCTATGTAGGTGCTCTACGGCCAAAGCATATACTATACGGGCACAAAGCCCTCTACGGCCTAAACATACCCTGAGGGTCCATGTTCTCCTATAGTATATACATAGGCCCCAATGTAGTCCCTATATAGGTACTTTGGGGTCAAAGTATACTCATATGGATACATGGACCCTTACAAATATACTATATGAGTACATGGCTTAGATGCGCTCAGTATCCCTAAACCCTTATGGTACCTCTTACACATTTGATGGAATAAGCCCTTAAAGGATTCCCGTATAAGTACATGGAGCCTAAGGGCATCTAACCTGAAAGCCAAAAAACCCTAAAACCCATAAACCCTAAATCGCTAAAGCCTACCCAGAGGCCCCAAAGTAGTTCCTTTTTGGGGTTCATATATAGAATCCTAGAAGGTAATCCCCAAAAGGAACTACTATGGAGCCTATGGGTAAAGCCTAATTAAAACCCTAAACCCTAAACCCCTAAACCCCTAAATCCTAAACCCCTAAACCCCTAAACCCTAAACTCCTAAACCCTAAACCCCTAAACCCATAAACCCCTAAAGCCTAATTAAAAACCCAAGCCACTCGAGGCAGTCAACGCTCGATCTCGGTTGGCGGAGACAGCTCGCCCTGCAGCGACGCTGTTGGAGCGGCTTACTGCGAGGGTCTTTAGGGGACTTAGTAAGTAGGGGCTCCTTTAAAGGGGATTCTAAGGGTTCCTTTAAGGGCTCTATAGGGGTACTATAGGGTTTAGGGTTTAGGGTTCAGTGTCAGGGTTTAGGGTTTTAGGGCGTAAGGTGGTTTATAGGACGGTTTAGGGTTTAGGGTTTTAGGGCGTAAGGTGGTTTATAGGGTCTAGCTCAAGAACCAAGCAGACGTCATCTTCGGAATGTTGGTTCTGAAATGAGTAAAAACAGTCTTTTGTTCCTAAACCCTGAAATTAGTATCATTATTAGGGCGGCAAGTTGTAGTTTTTTAGGGTGCAGGGCCTTGGGCCTGCGGGTGCCCAGGGTGTCGGGTTGGGACTTGAGGCTTGGTCTGCTGCCTTAACCTACCAAACCCTACTTTTGTAGGTTCTTATGAGAAACCCTAATATGGAATTTATGGGGACCCTGCTTGTTTGTAGATTTTGGTAGGTTAAGATGGAGGTGATTGATGTATGCTTCGGTCAAAAAGAGTGCAACAGTTGTCAACCAGAGTCGGAAGTGCCGGAAGCCTACGCACCCATGAGATGTAACATGATAACTGATAGAGCCCTACACCCGCCCAAGCTCACTAAAACCGAACAGGGAACCATCTAGAAGCCTTAGAAACCTAGAGGCTTCTACGGAGAAGAATCTACATAGATGCCGCCATTCTCCATACGGCAAAAGCCAATAAATCGACCTTTCGACAACAATAAACCGCAATCGTGAGGAACACTAAACCTGCGTATCTAGAGCCCTATGCGCAAGTTCTGAACCCGAAATGTCGATCCATACAGACCTTTAAACTAAGCTGGAAACCGCAACATTGGACCCTCAACCCGTGCATCGAGAGCTCTAGACGCTAGATGGTATGCATCCAAACCCTGCGCCCTCGATCCTCGCATCCCAATAGAAAACCTTATACATCCCTCATAGCCTGAAAGTCTTGCTAAAAGATCATAGAATACTTAACTTTTATGATATGGTCCTTTCCGAACCCTGATCGCCACCCTGAGGGTCCACGTACCCAATAATCATGTACTGCGCCAAATAGTGACCTACATAACTTCGATCCGAAAACTGAGTACCTTAAGGATCACTTTGGGAGCCCTTTTTACTTTGGAAGTACCTAAATACTGGGTCCTTTGGACCCTTAGGGATCACTTTGAAAAACCATTTTAGAGCCCATCTTCGGAGGAGCCGCCAAGTGCGCCCCCACGTGAGGACGAGCGAAGTGGCGACTCCGCATCGGCATCTCTGTGGAAGAGTTAGAAGGCCCAGACCTTCCAAAATCCCTTAATTAAGGAATATACCTTAAATCATATTAGGGATCCTACTATAATTTAAGGTATATTCCTCAATTAAGGGATTTTGGAAGGTCTGAAGGATTTGGGGGGTTTAGGGGCTTAGAGACTTAGGGGCTTTGAGGTTTCGGGGCTTAATTGGATCTCTCTGGAAGAGTTAGAAGGGTTTGGGGGTTTGTGGCTTTTGGGTTTCGGGTCTTTGTGGAAGAGTCAGAAGGGTTTGTGGGTTTAGGGGCTTGTGGGTTTAGGGGTCTGTGGTTTTGTGGCTTTTGGGGTTCGGGTCTCTGTGGAAGAGTCAGAAGGATTCTTGGTTTAGGGGCATTGGGTTTTAGGGGTTTATGGGTTTGGGAGTTTGGGGGTTTAGGGGCTTAAGGGGTCTAAGGGGTTTAGGGGCTCTGGGTTTAGGAGTTTTGGAGTGTAGGTTTCAAGGCTTCCCCTGTTACGTCCGTTCGGGTTACTGAAAGGAGATTGAATTAGGGACACCAAAAGCACGTACGCATAAGCATTTTATAGGGATATCCCTACCTTATTGGGCTTCATTATAAGGGGATTTATATGGGATATCCCTACCCTGATTTTTGCTTATGTGTTAGAAGCTGCCCCCACCCTGTAATAGTGGCATAATAGGAATAAAATAGGAATATAATAGGGCCCTAATATAATCCTGATAGTCACTATTACAGGGTGGGGGCAGCTTCTAACTTGTGTGCTTTTTGGGTGCCCAAATTGAAGCAGAGCCATGCCAAGGTTCTTCAGTGCGAGGTGACGGCCGACTTCCGTGGCGATGCGCTTCGCCGGAACGAGTTCAGGGCTTTGCTTCTGTTTGGGCCTTGCTCTGCCCGAAACGCTAAGCCCCGAATCCTACTCTAAGGCCCTGTTCTGCCTAAACCCTAAACCCTTAGACCCCTAAACCCTAAATCCCTAAACCCTAAGCCCTAAACCCCTAAACCCGTAAACCATAAACCCCTAAACCCTAAACCCTGAGGCGTAAACCCAAACTTTTTTGGGGCCCGGTACTGGGATCACGGACTGTGGTTCGAGGCTGATGCTGCGAATTTTGAGATTCGGGACTTTGGGTGGGGGTTCATGGGTAGTCATAAGTGGGGCTATACGGTTCCTTTAAGGGTTCTATAGCAGTCTATAGGGGTGGAGAGGTTCCTTGGTAATTACAATCGGGGTTATAAGTCCCCTAACATTAGGTGCAAAGTATAGGTACCCTACTTATAAATACTAAGTCCCCTAGCATCAGGTGCAAAGTATAAATACCCTACTTGTAAATAATATATCCATGTCTCATACTCCCATGAACCTCCAAGTGGAGTGAGGGGTTGTGTCAATGTGCGGTAGTTCAAGTGCGGCAGCTCCGGGTTCAATCCCAAGCCCGACAAAACTGTCTTTGCCCGGCACCTCAATTATAATAATGACGGGTAAAGCCAACCATGAAACTTCCTACACAAATCAACATAACAGACATAACATGGGCACCTGAATGATCCCGAATATCCTTCCCTATATATGAATCACTGCAACATACCCCAACGCCCAAAACCCTTCTTTGAATCAACAAGGAAACTGAGCAAACATGCCCTCAGTGCCGAGACCCGAAGGGCTCTCCATGTACCTACAAAGTATGTACCTAGGCTTAGTCTAAATACCTGTAGTATCCATGTACCTATGTAGTATGTACGTAATCTCGAAAGTGCCCATTTTGGGACCAGTTTAAGGCCAAAACAGATACTAAATGGGTACATGTCCTTAGTTCCTAGACCTGCAGACAAACTGCAGTGCAAAGAGCGAGGCCTTTGTGAGAGGCGGCACACGCCCTGGGTCAGAGGCGCTTGGGGGATCAGGGGACGGTGATAGAGTAAGGAAGGTAACAGGTGTAACACCCTTAACATGTCTTAACCATAATGACTTGCAGCCTTACATAAGGCCCTTATCGCCCTGCTTGTAACCCTAAACCCCACGCCGAACCTCGTTCTGTAGTTGTACAGGGTCGCACTTTGAGGGTTTACCTGAATCCCAAATACCCAACCTCTGTGACCATTTCTAACAGAAATCAACATAGTAAAGGAATCCACAGCAGGCAGGTATTGGCGGGTTAAGGTAAGGTCTTGCTCATCCCGAATTCTCGAAATCTTGCAGCGCAAGTTGCTGAAAGCAGTTTGTCAGATGCCGAAGAATGGTCTTGGGTTGCAGGTGTTATAGGGTGTCCAGTGTTATGTGACCCTAGACCCCTCAACACTGAATCCTATACCCTAAAACCTAGACCCCCTTATAGCCCTATCCAGGAAGAACTCTGAGTTGCTTGTTTGGCGGTGGGTTTGGGGTTTAGGATTTCTTTTCTTTTATTTCGTCTTCTGATCATGTGACTAGCCAGGGAATGCGTTATGTAGGGAAGGGCGGCAGAGTTCAGGGTCTCGATTCACATCCAAGCGAGACGCATCAGTGCTGCAGGTGTGGCTCTTTAGGCGAGTCTACACGCCACTTGGCTGAGACGCTGATGAGCTCCACACCCCTAAACCTTCCCTGAACCTCCAAGCGTCTACGCCTTTAACAAACCCTACACCCTGCACCCTTTCGAGACCTGCTCTTGAGCCCTTAGAACTGCTAGAGGAGCCCTTAATGCTCCAAGCAAAGCCCAAACTGTACCTGCGACCTATGGGATTGCGGGTTAGGAGTTTAAGGTTCAAGCTTTTAGGGTGGTAGAGTGCTTACGTGGGTGCCTAGGGCCTAGGATTTAGAGTTTAGGAAGTTCGCTCGAGCTGTCTGCAACAGGCACAGAATCTGTGGTTTCGGGTGGAGATTGGAGCGTGATTGCAGGTTTAGGCAGTCAGGCTTTTGTAAGTACGAAGGAGTCCCAAAACTTGGAGCCTTACACCCTAAACACGGTTCGTTGTAAGATGGCTTTGCGATTTGCTGTTTAAAGTTTTTAATGTTCAATTACACCAAACATTTTCACCGGATCTCCAGAATCGGTTTTGCCTTGACTCTTGAGAAGAGTACAGCAGACCCCGGCCTTAAACCCTTAACTGTGACCTTAGCTGTTCAGGAACGAGTTTTCCCATCTGCTGCGAAAGATGGGCTATCACCTCCCGATGATCTTCCAGAATGTCTCCGTGTCGTGTGCGGAGAGCCGGGCATCAACCTTGAATAACATCGGGGCCTTAATGATTTGAATAGGGTTTTGGGGTATCAGATATTATAAGCTGTAAGTACAAAATCAGGAACCCTGAGAATGAGATTGGTAATCCTAAAGCCTATAAACCTTACATTACCCTGAACCTTGCAGCCTCCCCACCCCTGGAGCTACAAGTCCTAAGCCCAAATCCAGAGGCTCGAAAGAGCGCAGCTCTTGAGCCTGTCAGCCCTAACTAAGCCCAGAACTCCCGGGACTTGCAACTCCTACATCTGAAGTTCAAATACTATAGGATGCCCAGTAGTATCCTTATTCCCTTTTTGTAGTCCTAGGTTCCCTAAAAAAGTTATCCCATACCAAAAAAGGAGCCCTTTCTATTCCTAGGTTACTGGGCATCCTAGAAGAGTTGGAAGCTTTGAGGGTTGAGAGTTTAGTGACCGAGGTTTCGGTGTTTACGGCTCTTGAGGCTCAGGTCTGGGGCAGATCAGGGCTTATGCCTTTAAGGGGTTATTATGATGTAACTCCTGCATTACCTTAAGGACCCTAAACTATGGGAGTTATGGTATGTACTTCTTTATGGGTAATGCAGGTTTCATATCATCAGCCGTAGTTTCAGGGTTGAGGGCTCTCAGGGGAGAGTGATTGTCAGGTTTGAGTTGAAGCTTTGTGCTCAGGTTCCACTTAGACTTAGAGGTTAGGGAGGGTTTGGGGTTTAGGGGCAAGTAGGGCAAGTAGGGCTAAAGTACCCTAAGCGGAATTACCCCAATCATAACCCTACCTTATAACCGACTTACTAAGTCCCCTGGGCTTCTAAGTAACCCAAAAACACCCAATACCCTTCATTTAGTGAATGTACCTTAAACCATAATATGAAGGCCCCTACAAAAAAGGCATACTCCTTAGTTGAGGGACATTGGCTAAACCGTAAACCCTAAACCGTTTCTGTGGAGCGCTAGAACCCCTAGACAAGTCGTAGGAGATGTCATTGGGTGAGCTCTGGCGACAGACCTGCCAGGACGACTGCACGGCTCTTGCTGGTGTACAACTGGGGCTTCAGGCTGTTTCTTTTGTTACATAGGCAAACTTATGAATGGACAGCTTGGGTAGGTCATTATGTCATTGTGCACTTAAATCAATGAGTGTCTATGGACATACAATATAATATACAAATATGTTCACGCGCCCTACCTGATTGCCTTGGTCAGGTGTTGCGGTTCTTGGAACCAGGTAGAACCACGTCCCCGGATCCTGTCAGTAGATCTGGCTTTGCACTAGGGTTTTGTTTTTTTTTGGGGCCTAGGGTTCAGAAATGACCCCAGGTGCCAGCTTTAAAGCCCAAGACACCGGAAACTCTGAACCCTCCCACGAGTTCTTGGGTTCCGGGCTAAGAGAAACCCCAATGTACACCAAAGTCCTATTCTGTGTTTTGAACCCTCAGTACTGCTAACCGAATGAACCCGTAGTCAATTCGCGTACCTCCTAAGCCGACAGCCTATCCCCTTAAACTCAAGATCCCAACTCCTGCGTCACCACATCCTGACTATCAAACCCTATGATATCTTTGTAAACATGCATGTGTGTATATGTATATATATATATATGTATATATATAATATGTATAGCTTTTATACACATACAATTTTAAGTATCTACACGTATTTCTACATGTGTATATATGTATATGGTCATCTATGTCTATGTCTATATCTAACCCTATATCTAAAGCTAGAACTGTACCTATATCTATATCCCAATCTCTATCTATCTTTTTATATCTGTATCTGTATGAGTATTTACATATGTATATATGTATGTATATATATATATATATAGTAAAGTTCGTGTGTGTGTGTGCGCATACATTTTCCGGAGCCCGAAACCGCAAGAACATATCTATGAGTCTGTTTGCCGTATGTATATATATATATATACACATACAAATATACACACACACACACATACCATACCCCTTCGAACAACCTGATTCACGCCCCCTCACCCCCTCTCCGCCCCCATCCACATTCAATCTTTGCGAGGACTGTATCCGCCACCTCACCGCCGATGCCTACGGAGAGCTAGGCCCTATACGGGAGTTTCCGAAAATAGGGGACCCTAGTATAATACCTTAAATAGTAGGACCCTTATTATAAGGACCCCAAAATAAGGTACCCCTAATATTCGGAAACCCCCATACCCTAAGGGTCCGCATGTACCCCGATAGTATGTACTTTGACCCGATGTACCTATGTAGGGAGTACTTTAAGGCCAAAGTATATACGATTTTGGATTCATGGAGACCCTCAGGGATAGTAGATATGTTGGGAGATCACCAGGGTTTAGTCCAGTGAGTCAAGTGTTTTGGTTTACTTGGGCTTAGGGTCTCGAGTCTAGGGTATACGTCGGTAACCCTGAAGCCAACTTGTTTTGATAAAGCTACAAGGAAGAAGATTCCTGAAGGAGGGGTCAAGTGTTCAGGTGTACTATAGGAGCCTACTTCGTCGACAAACATCATTTTGAGGTTCCTTATGATAGTTCTAGTAAAATATACACCCCCAAATCTGTTATGTTTGAAGTCCACTAGACTGCACCCTTTTCGTATCCCTTATAGTAACCCCTATAAGGAAGCCTTTACGGGAACCCTATTCTGAATATCAAGGCCCCTATAGTAGGGTTTAGGGAATTGGGGCTGAGCTACGAACATCGAGAGGCCGGAAGAGTCAGAACAGAATTTGGTGCGAGCAGCTCTTCTCTCCTTGCCTATTTCATTTGCTTAGTTATATATTTAAACGGCTTTCAGTTTCTGATGTTACACACTTAGTTATCCGGTGTTTTTGTCATTGCGTTCAATATTAATGTCGTTCTTTCGCTCTTTGTTCTGTCTCCGTCTCTCTCTCTCTCTCTCTCTCTCTCCCTCTCTCTCTCTCTCTCTCTCTCTCTCTCTCGCGGACCGTGGTATCAAGCAATTTAGGACGAAATGGCCGGTAGCTTTGATTTATAGTTTTGGGTTAACTCGGGTTTATGGCCTAGGGTTTGGGACTATGTTTACATCGTATATGTCACACTGGGCCTAAGGCCACAGCACATATTCTACCTACTTCTACCACTATTACTACTACTACTACTACTACCACCAACACCACCAACACCACCAACACCACCAACACCACCACTACTACTACTACTACTACTACTACTACTACTACTGCTACTACTACTACTACTACTACCAGTGCCCAATTACTTACTTACATTAACTTGGCTAGGGTGATCTGCAGGCATGATCGTTCCGGCCCACCCAGATCCAGATTTGCGGGGCCGAAACGACGCGCCTGTGCTTGGTTTAGCAACTACTTCGTTCAGGGTTGAGTAGGGGAGTTTCCGAAAATAGGGGACCCTATATAGTACCCTAAGTAGTAGGATCCTCTTTATAAGGACCCCAAAATACGGTACCCCTAATTTTCGGAAGCTCCCATGTAAGCGATCCTTAAAGGCTGCTGTACGGGGTCGGTCAGGGTAAGGGTTTGTTTGAGGCTCTACGTTTCTTTGTAATCAAGCGGTTCGGCAAGTTGTTTAAGTTCAGGTAGGGCTTTAAGGGCTTAGTCTCTTGGTGGGTGGTAGGCTTTAAGGGTTTAGTCTGTTGGATGTGATGTTTTTAGGGTTTACAGTAGGGTCGAGGGTTGAGATCTTATCAAGTCACAGTCCTAGGAGTTAAAGCCAGTTAATTGGTAGCGATTTACGAGCTAGAGTATTTGTTGGGTAGCTGGGTTCGTTGGGGTCTCTTCTCTGGGCTTTGGATTGCAGGTAGACACTTGTAAACACTAAACCTAGTGAGGTAGCGTCAGACCTGGAGTTGTACCTGGACTTTATTAATTGGTTCACTACCCCTAGTTTTCGGAAACTCCCATGTGTGGGAGCATACGAATGTGGTGGGTGGTCATCCCCTTGACTGCTGTCGTGCAGGTGGCCCTTCCCTCCACCATGGTTGTGGTCTGTAGGCTTTGGCTAAAAGACACGAGGGTTCAAAAAGAAAGGAAGTAGTTGTAGCTATCTAAAAATTAGAGTCAATTGATAGTGATCCGATTTACGGTCTTCAACAAGGATGCCGAAGTGTGCCCTTTTTCAACAAAACATCAAATTTGTGAGTTCTGCTGTGCTCTTTGGGGGTCAGGACATTGATGAACTTAAGCTCCAATGCCCCACTTACTGATGAAACTCTGTAAACCCTTAGACTTGCGCCTCTCCCACTCTATTGAGCAAGTGTTGCGACGTACAATTTCACCCGTGTCGGTCTCCAACTGCCATTGCTGCCGTCTGTGCATGTGACGCAGTTAGCATGGGGGTCGACTTGGACGGTGGGGGGACTTAGTAGCTGGTTATTTTAGGGGCTTATAAGTACCATAACCCCAATTAGGGTCCCTTTTAGGGCACTAATAAGTCTACTTACTACCTACTTACTGACCCTCCAAGTAGGGTGTTGGGCATCTGACGTAGTCATTGTCCTCAGAGATGCAAGGCTGCTCTTCTGGGTGCCTTTATATCAAAGGGGAAAAGGAGGGACCCTTAATGGGGACCCCTACCCTATAATGGAGCTATATAACGGGTATATAATAGCTATATTACGGGTATGTACCTAGGGGTCCCTCCTTTTCCCCTTGGACTATACACAGGGTCTTAGTATGAGTATGCTGGCGTGATATGGTCTGTCCCATAAGTTCGGAATTGGGGAGCTCCAAACAGCCAGCCCACAGCAAGTCCTTGCTATTTGTCGCGAAGCGTCTGAGTGCTCAAGTTGTAGACCTCTTCACAGTAGTCTAGAAATAGAACAGCCTTCGTTGGGGCCCCTTATTGCAGCTATACAAAATGCGCCCGAACCCTATGTTAATTAAAAGGGCCTCATAAGGCCTCCCTGTATACGAGACCTATATACGACCATATTATGTGAGCACGTGGAGCCTCTGGGTGCATGTGATCGGAAGAAGGCACTATTCGTACAACTTGAGAGCTAGGGATCATAAACGGCCATAAACATAAAGTCGCGAAGACCCGGTCCCCACTGCAAGGATATGGCTGTCAACGGTGTGTGTTTAGGTGATTGGTTACAGCTAGTTCGTGTCGAAAGCCCCTAATGTAAAACCTAACCTGAACGACAAACGACCCGTAGCTATCAACCTAAGCAACCCCCCAACCTCTAAACCCTAAAACCTATATAGACGCAGTAGCATCTCCTATGGAACCCTCTAAGCTTTAAGGACCCTAAACCCCATACAGTAGAAGCCAGAAAGTTGGAATATCATTATCGTAACCCCTTCTATGGTAAATTATAGGGGATCCTACCATTAATCCATATTCCAACTTTCTGGAGTTCCCTTTACCCTGAACCCTGGGGCCCGATCGTTCATAGCTTCCTCGAAGAAAGCAGCCCCAGGCCCCTCCAGTCGAAGCAACGGTGTGCCTCCTTCAAGGCAAGACGTTAGGAGGATGTTTTTCTGTGTTTTTTTGGGAGGCGGAGGGGGTGTTCAGGTTTGGGGAGTTTGTGGTGTTGGCTTCCGGGAATATCAATATAGGTTTGTGTGCGTTTTCAGGGGTTGTAAAGGAATCCCCTAAACCCTGCACCGTAACCTCTGAAGCAAATTTCGTGCTGGCCAGGCGCAGACTACAGCGCTTCATCCCCTGATTCGGGGCTTTTCTGCCGCACCCGCCTGCGCAGTGGCTGATTTCGCAGAGACTCCAGAAACCTTAATTAAGGATTATGCCTTAAATCATTGGGGCCTTAATCTTATGGTTCAATGTCAACTCCTTAATTAAGGATTATGCCTTAAATTTCTGGGGCCTTATAGTATTATGGTTTAATGTCAACTCCTCAATTAAGGGGTATTGGGCTCTCTGGGTTCGCAGAGACTCCCGAACTCTGTAGTGTTCTAGGAATAAGTAGTCTTGAAAGTCTTATGGGTAGTTGTCAAAATTATGAACCCTTTTTGGGTACCCGAACGGTTGATGATATATATCCTGCATTACCCATAATAGGGAATATACCATAATTCCCATAGTTTACGGTCCTTAAGGTCATGCAGGCTTTATATCATCAACCTAAATATTAGGTGCCGTATTATAGTAAGAAAAAGGGGCCATAATTTTGACAACCACCCTTATCTAAACAAGGGATACTGGAGTCTCCAGGTCAAACGCTGGAGACGATGTCTAGAAGGCCAGTTACCGAATGTAGAGCGTTGCCGTGTTGACGAAACCCTAAACGGGCCTAAAACCACGGAAACCACTAAGCCCTAAAGCCCAACATCCTGAACTAAGTAGGTAGTAAGTAGACTTATATGTACCCTAAAAGGGACTCTAATTGGGGTTATGGTACTTATACGTCCCTAAAATAACCAGTTCCTAAGTCCCCCGACCCTCCAAGTAGGCGTCAGGGCTAGTTTAGGATTTAGGGTGTAGGCCAAAGGCTCGTGCAGCATGTTCCAGGGATTGCTTTCGTTGCCTCGTCTGGGTTTGTGTCGGTGCTTATAGAGTTTCACAAGAGATTTCCCTAGTAGAGTAGGCAACCTGTAACCTGTTTGGGTAGTACATTCCCTACACAGTCCCAAAATAACCAAAAACGTTATCCTTTAGCTCCCCATGATACCCGACAAGTAGGTTTTTTTGCAAGGGTTTGGGGAAGGGTTCGGGGCTTACGGCTCAGACCCTAAACCCTAAACCCTAAGAATCCTATAAGGTAATCCCCAAAAGGAACTATTTTGGGGCCTATATGGTATACGATTATAAGGCCAGTGAAATTTAAAGTTCGACCAACAACTCCCTAAACCCTAAACCCTAAACCCTAAGAGTTTGTGATGGATTATGGTTCATGGTTTGGGGCTACATGGGATTCGGACCCATAGACTGGTCAAAGCCCGAAACCCCTACTATAGTCAAATGGGAAAAGGAGGGACCCTTAATGGGGACCCCTACCCTATAATGGGCTATATAATGGGTGTGTATATATATATATATATATCAAGGGTACATACCTAGCGGTCCTTATTAAGGGTCCCTCCTTTTACCCTTGGATGTAGGGACCTTAAGAGGAAGTATACTTTACTATATACAGACCTCATAGTACCAGGATGGATCAAAACCTCGCAGTTTAGGCTCGAACCCTGAATCCCCAGCCTCAACCCTAAGTCATATTCTATCCAAGGGTAAAAGGGGGGAGATCCTTAATAAGGACCCCTAGGTATTTGCCCTTAATATAGCTATTATATGCCCATTATATAGCCCATTATAGGGTAGGGGTCCCCATTAAGGGTCCATTTGATTCCAGCATGCCCAGTAGTACCCTTATTCCCTTGTTGTAGTCCTTTTTTCCTTATAAGGTTACCCAATACCAAAAAGGGAGCCCTTCTTATTCCTAGGTTACTGGGCGTCCTAGTTAAAAGGAAGTATACTATACCATAGTTGTGACAAGGAACCCCCCCGCAAAACCAACAGTACAGGACAATAATCTAGGCGAATCTAGGCCTATTTTAAGCGGGAGCCGCCGCTGCCCCCTACAAGTGTGGCTGACAGCTTTCAGAAGGTACGGGCCATAGGCCATTGGGGCGCCAATTGTTGCGGTAGCTGCTAGACGTTCTGTGTTGAGCAGGCTGGTTTCAACATCTTTCGCATATGCAGAAAGGTCTTTGCAGGGTACTCAGACCTGCCAGGACATGCTGTCTCCGGCGTAGGTTTTCCAAGTCTTCGGTTTAGGTTGTACGATGTTGTACGTTGGTGTAAGGCCGCCTACAGGCAACAGCTCTCGTAGTGGGAGGGCTTGGGATGTGAGCCTTATAACTTCGCCGCTGCAAGGTCCGTACGGTTCAAGCCTTCCGGTCAGGTGTCTTAGGGGCTCAGGGTTACAGTTCCTTTTGGGCAACTTCGCGAGCTTGTCATGATACGGGTACATGTGCATTGCAGGGTTCCACACTGTGGTGTGTTTGTACATAGCGTGAGCGGCTTCTTTACTCTGAGTGGTGCGAGCACTGCTTCGTCAAGCACGTGGCTACTGCCCAGACCTGCCGCACCCGCTTTCGTGATGCGTGCTGCATGGGACTTTGAGGGACGCCTGGTCCCCACAACTACCTAGACACGCTATAATAGCTAAAACTGGTACAAATCCTGCACACGAAGCGCTGAATCCTAAGCCCCTATATTAATATACAGACTTGTTGTGAAATGGCGTTTGGGGTTGCTTTAACGGTGGTTTCGTGTCAGCCTTTTACGTTGAAGCTCTTACGCTTTCGCAAGTTCTTACGGCATAGGAGGGACGGAGCAAGAGACAGAGGGAGAGAGAGAGCGCGAGAGGAACAAGCTTACACCTTACACCCGACACCCATAGGTTCACAGTCGCACAAAAGCCCCACAAAAGCACGAAATCATGTAGCTCCCCAAGAGGAACTGCAAAAAGTAGGTTTGTAGTCGGCCGAGGCTTTCGCGAGTTTCCTTCGAACTCGCTGGGCTTAAGTGTTTAGGAGCTTTGGGCTTACAGTTTAGGGCTTAGGGTGTGAGGGTCTAGGGTTTACCCAAAGACCCCAAAGTAGCTCTTTTTGGGGGGTTCATATATAGAATCCTATACATCAGGTAATCCCAAAAAGGAACTACTTTAGGGCCTGGGGGAGGTGTTTCAGACATGTCTAGATTCGTGCAGGCTTCACGGTTCAGAGTACCAGCACCAGAGCGGAGAGAGAAGAACCATGGTCGAAACAATCACAGCAGGAGAATTTTCAAACCGAACTTGGAGGTTCATGGGTAGTTATAAGTGGGGTTATCTAGTTGCAGGATACCTATCAATATAACCCATGAGGGGACTGATAGCCCCACCCAGAACTTCTCTTGCTCCTCCAAGTGAGCCCAAACCCCTTGGATGCAGTCCTACATCCGCCTCTGCTTCCTTATCGGCACCGCGCTGTCCCATGCGCCGGGTCAAGAAGTACGCTGAACATCTCGTGCTTCCTCGACAGCAGGATTTTCCATTGAAAGTCGAGCCCGGTCCCTTACTGTAATTCGCTGACTGCAACCTCTGCGGAAGATGTGGCTGAATTTGAGGCGTAAAGGTTGAGACTTGCGGTTTTTCAGTTATTCAGTCCTTGTGACCTGGTCATTTTCTTCGCTGCTGGCTTGAACCTTCAGCTATAGTCTCCGTAGGAATTATTCTTTCATTTTTATTCCTATACAGGCCCAAGAGAAGATTAAACATCATCTATTTATTATGGTTCAAAGGGGGGTATAGAAGAGCCTAAACCCCAAAGTCTGTCCAGGCCCTCGCAGGCCAGTCAATTTGCCCAGGCAGCCCAAACCCCTAAACCCTAATATCGGGCCCTGATTAAAAAACCTTGGGCCTTTATCAGGGCTCCTTATATGGATCCTACTTTTTTGGTGTTACATGGCCAGGGTTTCGTAATCAGGTTCCTACATTAAGCCTGAACACCCTTCGGACCTAACAAGCCTGATGCTACTCGAGAAGCTCCACCTTAAAGGATCATGGGACTTCGTTGCAGCAAAGTAGCTGCATGTTTTACATATTTATATACGGTTAGCTCATAATCTTGCTTACTTCGCCCAAGATCCTCCAGTAGAACCTATAATGGTGAAATGTAGGCGGTGAGGGTTCCCTAAATGCTCAACACGAAGTTCCAAGCCCTAAACCTAGCCTCCAAGCCCCATTTAAAAACAAAAAGTCCTTGTCGAACCCTTACAGTGAACCCCAGAAAGTTGGAACATGGATTTAGGATGATTCTTGCTGGGATTCCCTATACGTTGCTTTAAGGACAGGAGGATCATGATGTTCCAACTTGATGGCTTCTACTGTAAACGGAAGGAAGCCCGTTGAACAGGAGCTCTGCAACCGTTAAACCCTGTCACCCCCAAAACGGCTAAACGCTTAGATGAAGAATGCTATCCGCAGGGATTTCGGACTGAAGCGGTTTAGGTTTCAGGATTTGGGGTCTCGGGTCTTGAATTTAACCTTCAACCCTAAGCCCTGAATTAGTACAAGTGTAGAGTTCAGCAGCTGAGGAGTGGGGGTTAAAGTCCCTGGACACCCCAAATCGACAGTCTCCTTAGGGATTCTTTTTGTTTTTGTTTATAGAGTTTATATAACACCCAAGAGAACCTTCAACATGTTTTTTGTAGTATGGTTTCTAAGGGGGTATAGAAGTGGTGCATCTTCCTCCAAATGTTTAATGCAAGCTTTCCAGGCACGGTGTGTGTGCATGAAGAGCCTGTGGACTCTCTCTCGTTTGCTCCCCCGAAGTTTGACAAGAGTGAGCTCTAAAATTCAATGTGTAAACCCAGCACGCGCAACCTCAAATCCCAATGTCCATTCAACAAGTGCTTCGATTTTGCAAAGAGGGGTGGTTTCGGCACGTAGGTTGCAGACTTGCATTTGTGCATGTACGCATTGATGTCCCGATTGATACGCCCGTGAATATGATGTAGGCAGTCATGCATGTTTGTATCCACCCGTCTACATGTCCACAGAAAGACACTCAACAAGGTTTAGCTTGCGGGCTTCTTTTTTGATTGTTCTTTTGGTTTTGAGCTTGTGGCGGGGTTCTGGGTTTCCTCTTTGTGTGTTCCACATATGTCCGGCGAATCACACTGCCAAGCTAACCGTCGGGCTAGGACAGACTATTGAACTTGAACTGATACAGAGACAGGAGAGAGAGAGAGAGAGAGAGAGAGAGAGAGAGAGAGAGAGAGAGAGAGAAAAGAGGTGCCGAAAACAACCCTAAACCCTAAACCATGTTAGGGCTGTTGACAACAGCGGCCTAAAATCCGCCAATCTGCGGATCCTGGGCTCACGATTGGGAGAGACAGGGAGAGAAGTTATTAAAGGTACACCGAAACCCTAAACCCAAAGCCTTACTTCACTTAAACAAGAAACCTAGTGATCTTATTATGCGGAGAGAGACCTAGACCCCGCAACTACCATCTAATATACCCCAAATACCCGCTACAAGGGGCCATTCGGGCTCCAAGAAAGGGCCCTTGCGGGGCTACCCTAAACCCTGCATGAACCCTCAAACCCTGAAGCCCTAAACCCTAAAGCCCTAATTAAAACCCTAAACGCGGGGTCCTTTGAGGGAGAGTAGTTTCGGATCACCGCGGGCAGAAGCCCCGGGATGCGCCCCGGGAGGGCTTTTGTTGGGCCCTCGCGTCGGGCCTCATCTGCACAGGATCGGATCCGGGGCGTCTGAGGACTAGGATTGCTTTAAAGGGGGGCATAAAATTACCAGGGCTCCTTGAACTTGAAAGGGCTCTATGAGGGTGCTATAAGGGTTTAGGGTTTACGGGTTCAGGGGGTTAAGGGTTAATGGTGAGGGTTTAGGGGTTTAAGGGCTTAGGGTTTAGGGTCTAGAGCTCAGGGTTTAGGGTTTAGAGCTGAGGGTTTAGGGTCCAAGGTTTAGGACCGGATTCGGGGCCTGTCCTGGACTGCAAGAAACCCTTTTTTTTTTTGGCGGGAGCCTTATGATTTCCTTTCAGAAGTCCGTTTAAAGGTAGGTTATGTAGGGTTAAGGGTCGGCAGAAGAGCATATGAATCCAACAATCCGAGTATGTCAACTCCAAAGCTTAAGCGCCGAAGCCCAAAGCACAAAAACTTCAAAACCCTAAACCTTATAAAGGCTGAATCTTCGGGTCCCTGCAGTTTAGAAATCTTCAGGACGTTTTGTTTCATTTTGTGGTCTTGTTTTGTGGGTGACTTCTCCAGGTTGTGGATAAGGAGCGGGGTGGGGGGATTAGGCGTCATGCTGAATACCGGGTCATCCACCTAACCCCTAAACCCTTAGTCGTGTATTGAGGTCTTGTTTGCGCCGCATCCTTTCGCATGCTTCAAACTCAAGAGCGTACGTCACCTCAGCAACAAATACTGCCCCTTCAGGCTTTTAGTCGATATGGCTTCGGGGGTTGAAGACTGTTTAAAACCCTAAACCCTAATCCCCAAACCCTGGAGGGAGTGGGGGCTAGAAGATCAACCCAGGACTTCCCACAAGCACATTCAGGGTTCAGAATTATGGTCCTTTTTGGGGTACTCTCAACAATGGATGCCGTATTAAAAAAAAGGACCCAAAAAGGGACCCTAATTTTGACAGCCACCCACATTCAGGGTTGAGAATGAGAGTCAGAGTTAACAGCTTGGGGTTAGATACGAGCGCGCGGTGTTTCACAAAAGGCAAACGACCTGAAGCACAGGGGAGCTACGGTGGAGGTCAAGTGTTACTAGGGTTAGGGGTATTTCTTGGCTTTTAGAGTTTAGTGGTTTAGGTTATTTTTAATTTTTTGTGATGAGCAGGCTTTTGGCCGTAGCAGGTTTGTATTCTCCTCGATCTGGTAAGCGTGCCACACTTGGAAGAAGAGCTTCAGCGACGTCAAGCCCCGAACCCGAACCCTGCAGCCTGTTCGAGCGGCGCAGCTCTCCCACAACGCCGTTGGTGCTGATGCTTGGGAGAGGACAGCCGGAAGCTGATCATTGAGAAAAAAATGTCAGACGTCGAAGGCAGCAGGCCCTTTATAGAGGAGCTCATATTAATCGTCCGTCAGGTCGATTACTGCGTGTCTGGTTGTTGCTACTTGCAGAGAGCTTTTTCCGCAAGCCCTGAACCCCAAAAGGAACGATAACTGAGTAATCCGCGTTGCGGATTCTTGCAGACTGTGGCCTCTCGGCCACAATAGGCCTTATTACATGGTTCATTTTACAGGCTAGAGCACGGAAGTGCTCATGGGCAGTTCTGTAAATTAGAGCCCCTTATAGGTTCCCAAAGTTGTACGGCACCTTTGGAAGAAGGACCCCTGAAGAACATCCTAGTTTAGAGAACTACTCTCATCGTTTGGCTTAGACTATAAAGCATGAAGAAGAGCCTATGTTCTCTTCGGCAGTCCGCTGGGCTCTGATTGCAACATCAGGATAGGATCATCGGAAGCTTCCTGCATCATATGCATTTTCACGGTATGCAATTTCTTGGGTTTCTACTCTGTAAATCCTTAAACCGTCATAGCGAGCCCTATTTGTCAGGGATCGACAGGATGCGAGAAGTTGTTACATCAAGTATATTCCCCAAACCCCTGTAGTATCCTTATAGAGCCCCTTAAATGAACCCTTATAATCGCCGGTAAAGGAACCCTTATGATCGCCTTTAAAGGAATCCTAAGCCCCCAAGTGTATCTGGGATTTCATTCTGCTCAGAGATTCTTTGTGAACCACAGGGCCCCTCAGTACAGAACTGATTAGGGTTTAGGGATTAGGCTTTAGGGTTTAGGGTTTCAGGGTTTAGGGTTTAGGAATTGCTACCGTGGTGGTCAAGTATACCCCATATGGGAGTTTCCGAAAATATGGGACGGGATTGGGGTTTGGGGTTTAGGGTTTAGGGGGCTACGGTTTAGTTAGGGTTTTCCGGACCGGCGTTGTGTTGCATGGATATTGTTTTGCTGTCCGGCGTCTGCGCTATGAGCCGCAAGCAACGTCTGAAACCCCAAACACCCCAAAACTCAGAAGCCTAACGCGGGTGTTGTGTGAATGAGTTCTTGTCTGTAAGCCCTGAGCCCTCAATTCCAGATGTTAAAACAGAGCAATGCCAGGTCATTTCCGGCTGGAGCGTCTGAAGGGCAGCGAGCCCTCCGAAAACGGATTCTGACAGATTCTAAACTCCGTTCACCTCATGACCAACCCTCAAGCACGAAACCGTCCCCTAATAGCAGCTATAACTATAGTTACCATACTTATAACTGTACTTATAACTACCCATGAACCTCCAAGTAAAGCCCGGAACCCCAAACCTCAAAACTCCAAACCCCGTGACCCTGAGACCGAAAGCGCTAAACCACCAAGAGCCAAAACCAAAGCTTTAGCAAGTAAACATAATATCGAATGTAGTTTATTACACGACAGTTCCATGAGGACATTTAGCCGAAACTCGTCCTTGTCAAAAACACTGATTGAATTTGCTGAATCCGGAATCGAGCACTCATGTGCGTGCCTGAGCATGCTGTGGCTGTCGCCTCTGCATCAAATTAGGGTTCTGGATCCTTGCATTGGCTGTTGCCGTCAAGCCTAAACCCTAACTCCACATGCCAAAACCCTAAGCCCTAAAAAAAAAACCTTAACCCTAAACCTTAAACCCTAAACCCTCAAAACCCCGAGCCGCGAAGGTCTCTCGAACCCTGGTCTCCGGGTTCCTGCTTTCCTTGCAGCCCCATGAATCCGCCTTGTGTGGCGCTTTCACCTAGGCCCCCCTGCGCGTGCCTATATGTACTCTCTCTCTCTCTCTGTCTCTCTCTCTCTCTCTCTCTCTCTTTTTCTCTTTCTCTCTCTCTCTCTCTCTCTCTCTCTCTCTCTCTCTCTCTCTCTCTCTCTCTCTCTCTCTCTCTCTCTCTCTCTCTCTCATTCTCATATATATATATATATATCTATATCTGTGCCAATGCCATCAGCATAATCAGGAGTAGACTTTCGTGCTGGGGGCCTGGCAGTGCAGAGCTTTCTTTCAAGCCTGGCAAGTAGCCAAAAAAGTGCGGGACTCAACTCATAAACTCTCCTTGCTCAATCATTCACCGTTTTTCCTATCCCTTAAACCCTAAACCCTAACCCTAAGGCAGACTCTGGTCATCACGCTTTAAACAAACCCTAAACCTTAAAACCCTAGAGGCTTCGTGCCCGAAATCCTACCCTGCAGCCCCACCTTCAACATGGCATCGTTGTCCTGCAGCTCCCCCGCTAAAGCTTCAACTGCCACCATTCCCCAAACAAACGCACGATAATTATGTGTGTATGTATATATATATATATATATATATTACAAATTTCAACTCGTATAAACCGATCAAAAGTTGTACATACATAAGATATGCATGCTGGTGATTCATGTAAACAGGAATATGTGGGAAGTGGACGGCTTCAGATCCGGAAGTAAGTATTGTTTGCAATGTATATCTGGTCGATTCCTTCGATGGGTCCGTAAGCAGGCTTTTCAGGATCCAGGTTCTTGCTAAACCCGAGACCCGAAACCGTAGGGCTTAGAACAAAAGCCCAAATCATATAAGCGCGTTTTTGCATGCTCGGAGGCCTAGGGAAATTCTACCCAACCGAAGCCGCAAATGCCTAAGGCCACAAACCTAAGACAGAAGACCCTTAAACATTGAACCAAAAGGTATCTAGATATGCAATCCTAAACTTAGATAGCCAATGGGGGAACTTTAAACTTTTTGGCCTTATATATTTGGCCTATCTTAGAAAGTTTAAACTTTTTTGCGCCCGGTAATTGAAGGAGAGAGTAAAAGCATCAAGTCCTCAATCAAGCCCCGGAAGCCCAAAAGTTGGAAACCCAATAGCCTCAATCCTGAAGAGTCATGTATAGGGAATCCCAGCTCTGTTTGGCCTTAAGTAAGCAGGTTTCCACTTTGTGGGGTTTACTGTAAACCCTGAACCCTAAACCACTAAGCCCAAAAAAACACTAAACCCCGATAGTACCCCTATAAAACCCTTTAAAGGAACCCCTATACTGTAAACCCTGCAACCTCTCCGAGTCCCAACACCCAGAGCTAGAGGTGACCCTTCCTCGGCCTTTGCCACCTTTGCTGGCGTGCCTTGTGCAGCGGTTTAGGGTTTACGGTTTATAGGTTTTAGGGCTTAGAGTAGTAACCTTTAACCTTTTTGGGGTAGTATAGTCCCTTTATAAACCCGTGCAGAGTCATAGATAGTGAACGGGGGAACTTTAAGCTTTTTGGCCTTTTGTAGTAGCTCCATCTTAGGAAGTTAGGGGCTTAGGGTCTAGTTTGGTTAACACGTCTCCTGCTCATAGGTTTCTAAGAGTAAAGTGATTTAGCCAAAAGGAACACCCCAAGGGTCCAGTTGACCCAAGAATGAAGTGCTTGGGTTTAGGATAGTAGCTGTGTAGGTTACTATTTTGGAGAGTACATGATCCCAGACCCCGGGAGGATCTAGAAAGTAGATCCCCAAATTTGGGGGGCTATCCTACTAAGGTAGGAACCCCCATTAAGGGATCTACTTTTTGGATCCTCCCGGGGGTCTGGGATAGTTAGGTACTTGGACCGTTAGGGAAACCTTAATTTCAAGTATTTATTTATTTTTTAGGGGTTTGCAAAAAAGAAATCATCTTAGGGAACCCTGCAAAGGTAGGTTCCTTAAACTCAGGCAAATCCTAAATTCTGAACCCAAAACCCTAAAACCCCTAAACCCTGGACCCTAAAAAGGTTGCGTAGGGTCCAGGAAGAAATTGCCTGGCAGACTTTTGGCTTGGGGCTCTCGGGTCAGAGTCAAGGGCCCTCAAGGCTACTTCGAGGTTCATATTTAGGGTTCCTTTAGGGCCTAGGGTTTAGGGTATAGGGTCTACTTGGAGGGTCTTTGGGGGACTTGGTAAGTAGGTAGTAAGTAGACTTATAAGTGCCCTAAAAGGGACCCTAATTGGGGTTATGGTGCTTATAAGTCCCTAAAATAAGCAGTTACTAAGACCCCCGACCCTCCAAGTAGGGTTCCTTTAACTGTTTAAGTGTCCGTCGGGATTTTGCAAGGGTATAGGGACTGAGGGACTACTTGGAGGTTCATGGGTCGGTATGAGTGGGGGGTAACTAGAAAGGGCTTTGGGACATTTTATATTTTCCCTCATTGGGCTTAAGAGGATCTTATTTACTAATATTTTTCAAAAGCTTTAAAAGCACCGCCTAGGTAACTATACTTCGAATCCATGTTCGGGGAGCAGCCTCGATCGGGACTGAGGCTTTGGGATTTCGGCCCTCAGTCGTCAGGCTCTAAGGTTTGCCATTACACCTCATGAACCTCAAGCCCAAACCCTTTACACCCTAAAGTGGGCGACATGCATCCCAAAACTCTAAACCTATATCCGTCAAGAGATGAAGGCTCTAGGTTCTGGCGTCCGATTGAATTCGACAGGATTGAGTCATTAGTTATCCTAGTGTTATTGTCCCCTTATAACTAGTCCCTATGCAAGTATACTACTGTCTGCCTGAAAACCCTATTCTAAGAAATAAGGCCCCCGCAAAAGGTTGCAACTGCAGTTTGTAGTTCATTTTCTAGACCGGCTACTGGCATTGGGTCTAAGAGGATCTTAGTGATTGAGCTCAATACCCCTTCAGGCATGTGCCCCTAAAACCTAAACCCTAAACCCTCTAAACCGACCTGTAGGTGCCTCAAGGTTTATAATGTAAGGGACAATCCTTGTTGAAGAGCTTCGGGGTTGCAACGGCCAGGACCCAGAGCCTCCAAAACCCCTTGATTAGGGAATATACCTTAATTAAATCATATTGGGGCTCCTATTGTAATTTAAGGTATATTCCTTAAGTAAGGGGTTTTGGAGTCTCTGGGGATGGCCCTACCGGGACCTGAAAGCCTGAATACGATG